GCCGCTTAAAGCTTTTTTTTTTTATAGTCGAGATACAAAATATAAGTGTGACGAACCATTTCAATTATGTATGAAAGTAGTTTTCGTTCAGTATTTTAGATCAGAAAAGACACAAATGCAGTTCATAAAGTACGGAAACAAGAAAAAACCCGTCAAAAAACCCGCCGCTAAGCGGCGGAAAAAACCGCGTATACTAGAAAAGGGCTAGTGAAATGAGGCTACGACGAACGGCGAGCGTAGAAAGGTGCCGGGTGTACGCGGCGGCGCTGCGGTCGTATACCGGCTCGAAGATCCGACCGGTTCCGAGCGTTCCGAAGGCTTTCGGTGTGGGCTTGGCTGGCGATTCGGCCATTTACGGTATGGCAGCGCCAAGTGGCTCCCGTTCTGAACTGATCATTACCCCATGTCTGCTGTCGTTTGTAGCCAATGAAGTGTTATGCCGAATTAGTCTTTAATCGCGCAGAAAATGCAATGCGAGCCGCCCTGACCGCCCGCTTCATACAGACTATCCAACACGTGCTTTAGTGGCGCCCTCTCGAGCCGTCGACACGGAGTGCGGCAGTCGTGAGCGCTCGATGAGCTCACTACTCCTCCTCTAGTTCACGGCCGCTCAAGCCAGGACCTACGACGTCATGAAGGAGGTTATTTTTTGCTTGTTTTTGTAAGTCTAGGTTGCCTATAACTTTTAAAATAAAGCGAAATTTGAGAAAAAAAAGTTTCTTTAAGTTACTACGTTCAGTGCGCTCAGGTTCGGTGCAAAAATAAAAACCAGTGAAAAAGTTGTTGTTGCAGGCCCCCTTTAAAACTGGATTGGCTGGGATGGCTTTTAGAGTCCACTGCACTTGGACGGAACATCAAACCAAGTAGAAAAAAAAGTAAAAAAAAAAAAATTCATAATGTGGCGCAACGCCTGTTGGTCAAATATGCCCGAAGCATTACATTGTAAAGATTAAAAACGTTGGACTAGACAGCAACAAACATGAAGTGTTTCGCACAGCATAAAACAGTAAAGGTAAAAAAAATTCCACTAAAAGTGAATAAAAGAAAAAAAAAACACATTCACAGTTCGTTGCGGCCCAGATCCAAGGGGACGTTTGTCATGGTGTTGTTCATTTGCCGCACGATAACAGCGTGGTCCTCTTGCAGGTTGGCAGCATGGGGATTAGGATGCTGGTGGACATAGTACCTCATGGCGTCAGAAAGAAAATTAGGTCAGTAGTTACTAGCTTGAAGTATATGTATTGCTCACTGCTTAGAATTACATAAAATTTAGGATTGTATTCTGGTAGTCCTAAAAATTATATATGTTAGGGTCGGACATATATTGAACCTTCCAACATGTTTAATCATCACCCTTTAATTATTAATTACTCGATTAGTTAGTTGCCTTGGGTTTTTAGATATGATTTCAAAAAACCCCAAAAAAGGGGCTAAGTATTTATCATGCTGACAAAGCTGAAGTCCACAATGTTTGCGCGCTAAGATTGCGTTGGGGCTACAGATTTCAGATGTAAGCCAGTTTATTATTACAGTACCACCTACCTACAATTGTACCATATATAACGATCTACCACTCATAACTATCAGTTCCTATATTTCCTAGGCTGTGAATTATCAGTTTCTCGTTTAGATACGATATTCAGGTGTGACGATTGAAATTTTCGGTTTTCTCATCATCGTCCTGAGTGGGTTGCACTTTATTATGTAAGCCAGCTTACAACGACAGGAAAGATCCTGGGAAAGGAGAGCGGAGGGGGAGGAGGGGAGAGGAGCGAGTTATGGCCCCGACGATGACACAAAAGATTGTGGGAAGGGAGGGAGGGAGGGGGAGAGAGAAAGAGAGAGAAGACTGCATCCCAGTTCAAGGTTTAACGGTCCAGCATTGCAAGCAACCGTTGAAAATTTTTTGCATGAGCTAACCCTGTAACACATTCTGGGTTAATTCGCATTTTGCCTTTGCTTGTAGTGTTTTTGGATAAATCCTATAAACTCCGCAAAACACGCTCCAGTAATGACTTTGGGGACTCTAATTGACCTGAAAACCCTGAATTTTGGGACTGCCAGTTGCACGGACTCGGCTGTATATTACATTTTCCTGGATTCCTCGCGCAACTTGAGTTTTTTTCTTCTATTTTGATTCTAAATTTTTGTTTTTAAATGTCACAAAAGGTGTCCTACCGAAAAAAAACAGTATGATTAGAGTATGAAAAAAAAAAACGGGAATCTGAAAAACGGTTTGAATATACCAGGAAGCACACCATATTTAAAAAAAAAACAAAAAAAAAACGATTTAACATTCTGGGTCTACACCGGGAAACATACCGTGGGAAAAAAAAGAAACGATTTGCCGAAAACAGGAAGCATACCGTTTTTTTAAGAAAAACGATTTAACAATCTGTGTCTATACCGAGAAATATACCGGGAAAGAAAACAAACGATTTGCTGAAACCAGGACACGTACCGTATTTAAAAAAAAAAAAGAAATCGATTTAACAATCGGGCTCTATACCTGGAAATATACCAGGAGAGAAAAGAAACGGTTTGGCATAAAGCAGTAGACGTACAGTATTTAAAAAAAACGGCTTAACAAACTGGGCCTATACCGGGAAATGTACCAGGTCAGAAAAGAAACGGTTCGCAAAAACCAGGAAACGTGTTGTAAGTTGGGCGAATTGGTATGATGACATGAGGAACAGAACAGAGCACACAAAGACGAGAACAGAGAAAAGGAACATGCACGACACGCACACCAAGCGCTAGTGTGTCGTGCATGTTCCTTTTCTCTGTCCTTGTCTTTGTGTGCGCTGTTCTGTTCATCATGCCAGAAAACGTACCGTATTTAAAAAAAAAAACGGTTGAGGAGTTTGAGTCTATACCGGGAAATATACTAGGAGAGAAACAAATATGGTTTGCATAAACCAGTAAACATACTGATCTTGCAAAAAACGTTTCACAGTCTGGGTCTATACCAGGAAATGTACCAGGACAGAAAAGAAAATGTCTGCACAAGCTGCATTTTTACTCGAAATCTTACTCGGAGTATAATACCCAGATTGCATGCAAACACGGATCAAACTGTGAAACAAACACTCTATACAATTTGAGTAAGTCAGGCTGAATCTCGAAGCTGTACCAGGAATGAAAATTTCAGTTTGTGCGGACAGAAGGATGCCAGAGGAACATTTACCAAACTGGGTACTATACGACATTCACAAAATTTAATTAAAAACTCAGGCGAGATTTAGCAGCAAAAATATACATACTTCAAAATTTGTAATCTTTGCAAATTATTTGCTTGCAAAAATAGAATGGTTACAACCTTTAATGTATAACCATTTCATTCACAAATTCTTCTGTTTTATGTCCGGAAATAACACTTATTTATTATCGAGTATGGCATATAAAAGGAATGTCCCAGCCATCTGGAAAAAGTGGTTGGTACATCTGCATACGCTTTATTTTGTACCTTGAATAAAAAAATATTGTGCATACAACTATAAAAAGAGCAGATTCAAGGGGAAAACCAAACAAATTTCTGTTTGGTATAGATATATTTAATGGTAAAATCAAAAAATTATCAACATGCATTAACATATATACAGCTAGCTTAGCATTCTTCGTCATGGTACACAAATTCAAGAATCAATTAGCGCAAGTTTTATACACAGAAGTAGCATCAACTGAAACACCATCTGCTTACATGGCGTGTTCAGGTAAAAGCGCAGGATGTGAACTTTATGATTATACTTTTTCTGCTTTACACATCATGTGGTGATACTCTCAGACAATTTTCTCAACTGGAGCAAGTCACACATACCGGCAAGAATTACAGTGCATACAAAACATGTGGTTCATTCTAAGATACTATTCTAGAAACAATTAATATATACGTCCTACTGCACAGGAAAAATTATAAACATTTCAGATTTGTTATTTACCACAACACACCGCAAATTTTTGCAAACACTGCAACCTGTAAACAAACAATCATGCGTTAAAGACGTGCTGTCTCGCCGCTTTGCTGTTTGTGACTTTAACGCAAAATCCAGAGGGAAACATTTTTGTAATTACAAATAACTTGAGAAAACTGCATTTTTAAGTACACCATTTTTTTAAGCAATATATATGTTCCAAGGCAATACCTCATTCGCTGGCGTGGACATGCGATTGTAGTGCAAATCATCAAACACTGCGTAGAACAGTGCTTCTCTAAGTATGCTACCCTATTGCCCGAGATGAATAGGCACTTGTAATCTGGAATTCGGTATATGTATTTACCAACAATTTTTAATCAGTATACTATAAAACTATGATCATCTTTAAAGCGAAGCATTAAATTTGAGTAAATATGGGATGCCCAAATAGATGGGGGAGCTGCCCTTCAGTTCAGTGGCGCTCAATTTTATTTAGCAGCATACACATGTAGCTGGCAGATGGATTTTCAAACCTCATAAAAAGACACGGTGCCTTCACCTTGCATGGCTCCACAACATGAATTGTCGGGACCATCGAAACAAAGCACTTTTTGATTTGCACAGGAAAGTCACCACTTTTCGCAAGCACAACTTTCTTGGAGAGTAAAAACGCCCTGTTGCTCCCCGAAATAATTTTTGTAATGACAAAGTACCTGCCGTCCTCCCACTCTACAACAGAGGAGTCAGACCTAGTGGCTCTCTTGTACGACGTGGTGTGCAAAATGTGCCCCTTGTAGGTTAGTCTGTTATACTCCATTGACATGTCAGGGAAGACCTGTCCCACAAGAGCAGACTTCACCTCATGAGGAGTTGCTATCTGGTATGGATACCCAAGCAGGCAAACATCGTCCACATGAAGAGCATTCTCAAGCTTTGCGTATCCTAGCATGTCTCGACAGAGCCGTGTGACGCTGTCAGACACCAGTGGAGACGCAAGAAAAGACTCTAACTGCTGTTGCATGACGACCGTCCCGAAAATCTGCAGAGGGACACCAATGGCGCCAGTCACAAGCTTAACAAGCCTACCGTGGCCTCCCTCGAAGACAAATGACGAGTGGCCCCAGAGTGGACCGAAGTGACGAGCCACCTCGGCAGGTGCAATAACTGGTGGATGTTGAAGCTCATTGCAGTGCCCCCATACAGCCGCTGCGTTCCAGCCACGAAGTTCTTCAACAGCTTTTCTACAAGTAGAAAAAGATTCAAAACTAGTTTTAACCGCAAACAAAGAAAATAAAACTAAAATAACAATAAATAATTGACACTGAACTTGCATTCGAACAAAACTTAAATTAAGATTAATAATGATCAAGTGAATACAAAGGACTGGGTTGCCATTCCCATACAGTTGCCATTTTCCAGAGACAGCAAAATTAATAGCTTGCGACAAATACCTTTCTTCATCTCCGTATCATGACTAACTGCAATTTGCCTGTTCCATGGTTCGCGTAAGAGAATTGAAGCATATTTTCTAGTGACAAAGTTGCCGCAGCAATGTTTGAGTTTAACACTTTCCTGACCGCTTCCACAGAGCGTCGGTGACCTGTAATCAATGGGCACGAAGACTAATTTCAAAGCTTCCGCGGTGCTTCCAGACGCACAGCGCCTTTTGGTGGGTAGTTTGAAGACTATAGTATCGTATTCACTCGAGTAATAGCTGCACTGTTTATAAAGAAAGCCTGAGGGTTCGCTTTTTTGCGGAGCACGCAGATTGCCAATCACTGCGATCGACAGCATGATTCCAACTGATAACAGGACAGAGATAACGTCTTCGTGCAAAGATATACCATCTGTGAAGATTGCACTTGTATGGAGAATCATGTTCTCGATCTAGTTATTCGCTATGTTATTTTTGCGCAACGCGATGATTGGCTGTATATGTGCTTTGCGGGAAAGTAGACGGAAGGGCCTTGTTCATAAGTAGTGCCGCTATTACTTGAGTAAATGCGGTAGTTTTGTTTCTGTTTTGGTTGCTCTGTATTTGGCACAACTGCGATGCCGCCGCGACCCAAAGCAACACCACCTAGAGCAGTGACGTAGCCACGATTTTATTTCGGGGGGGGGGGGGGGGGGAGGGGGGGGGGCGCTGTTAAAGGGGCCCTGCAAGGACTTTTTTACTGGTTTGTAATTTGCACCGAATTTGAGCACACAGAAAGTAGTAACTTAGTGAAACCTTTCTTCTCTCGAATTTCGCTTTACTTTAGAACTTATAGGCGAATTAAAATTACAAAAGCAAGCAAAAAATAATCTCCTCCATGACGTCCTTGGTTGCTTGAGTGGCCGTGAGCTAGACGAGGGGTAGTGAGCTCAGCGAGCGGTCACAGCTGTCGCAATCCGTGTCGACAGCTCGAGAGGGCGCCACCGAAGCATGTTCTGGATAGGCTGTATGAAGCGGGCAGCCCCACGTCCTCGTCGATGACCTCCCGCCTGAAACGTTTAAGGCGTACTGGGTGAAACCGGACGGCGATGAAGAAGGCTTCTATGATGCCCATCTCCTGCATCTTGGAAGTAAGTTGAGACAACTTTTTTTTTAAGTTCACATAATGCGCATTGCTTTCAATTTGGCTCACCATTGCGTTGACTATTGTTAGCCGCGCATGTATGCTAAAAGCTTGAGCTAACTGCATTGGATCACGTCTCAGCGGCTGCACGAGCGCTCGTACCGCGTGGGTTCAAGTGAAGGACCGCAAAGTTAGCAACCATTGCAGTCTGCGGTGGGAGCGGGGCCGTCGCGCAATCAAACAGTGATTTGCCTACACATCCCCTAGGGGGGAGGGTGTGCACCCCCCCCCCCTGCCCTTGTTTTTTCTCAAGGGACCCCTTTTAATTCGCAACGACTATTCTCAATACCGCCCGCCCCCTCCCCCCCCCCCCCCAAAAAAAAATGGGTTAGACGAGACTTTATTTATCTACCGCCCTTCCTTCCCCCTTCCCACGTTTCTTTTTTTCTTTTTTTTTTCTTTAGGTTTGAGTGTTGCAGGCTCTCTGGTATGGGCCTTCCGCCTATCTGCCGCACCCCCGTCCCTCCTGAGCCGAAATAAATGAAATATTTTGGTTCCTGGGGAAACCCCTGATATTAAAGCCTTTTTTTCTCGTAGTGAAAACTTCTTTTCGAGAAACGAAGTTCAGTTTCGTGCGATTCATTTGTGCACATTGCATATAAAAAAAATACCAGAACAAATAAAAATGTAGAGGGGACATGCAGGTTCTCCCTTGTGGAATGGCCTAGCTCGCGCTGCAAAGTCAGGGATCCGCCACTTTCCGAATTGAGTAAAGCTATGATTACGTCGTGCACCTCGACCGGAAAATTGTCAATGCTACGTATTTCGTATCTAGGAGTTGTTGGCTAAATGGGTCTTTTGTCCAGTCACATCTGCTGCCTTGGCTTTGGCGGAATATTGCCGCGCGCGCAGCTGGCCAAGGAGGCAGCGCGCGCGTGGTCTAACGGTTATCGTGTCTGCCGCCCACGTGAAAAGCCAGGGTTCGATTCCTGCGAACGACGCACCTTTTGTTATTCCTGCAATTTAGTTTTCTGGTAAATTTGAGAATCCTGTTGCGTGGTCGAGGTCCGAATGTTCTACGCGTCGAACATTCTACGCCGATTATTCCACAAGCTTAAGCATGTACATAAGGCGCTCCGCGTGGCGAACCGGAGTCAGTCTCGCCCCAGCGTTCGACTCTGCGGTTACGCCGACTTCGACGCCCGCGACGCTCCGTTATTATCTTTTGTACCCTTTCATATTTGGCACAAGTTCGCCACATTAAACGTTTATTTCTTCCTGCTTATTTATTGTTCTTTTGGTCACGCCCCGTGACAGTATCTTTCAGAGCCGAGGAATTACTAACTCAAAGACACTCAAGGATATCGTTCGTTGACTTTCAAACTTTCCGTGCCGCACCATAGCGCCTTCCTCGTTTAGGGTGTCACTATCCAAAGTTTGGTAAACACTGGTGTAATCATTAATTTGCAATGTATGTTGGTAAGGACTTCATGCTAGCGGTACTGTACTGACATAATTTCTTCTCTACTGCATAGAAACTCGTGACATCCTTTGAATGGCTGACCAACCTTTTAACACCCCTGATCCAATTTAGTACTCTTTGGATGCGACTGAATTTTTTCTTCTATGTATGCTTATTTTATGCTGTTCTAGTTTGCAGAAACAGAATCTGATATATGCCGGTATGTGTCCAAGAAACGGATGCCTGTGCCTGTCATCTTTATGCAGGATGGTGAAATCGTAAGCATCTTTCTGTTCGTTATAAAGTAAATTGGTTATCATGATTAAAAAAACTCTGAGACTACAGGTAACGACACAAACACTCAAGTCTCAAGTTTCCCTTTTTCGTTTGGCCTTTTTCGGCCAAAAATCAAAATGAAATAAATTACTGATATCGCTGTAGTGACACAAAATACTACCCCCGCCAAAAATTACGTCCGTGGGACGCCGCATTCTCAACTAATGCCGATAATAAAAATTCGACCCGCCGCGAGCCGCTGCTCCTTAGCGGGCCGCCAGCAAGTTGCTCATCACTAAAGCAACATAGGGCCGTGACGTCAGTATCGTTCTCTTTTTTTTTTTCCGGTCCCGGGCGTTGCGCGGAGTGTGCTCCTCTGAGCCACTAACACAGCTACTTCGGCTTGTGATTGGCGTGTTTCGCCGTTGCTTTTATCTGTAGCCCGTGTAGCTTCGGTATGGTCTTTCGTTTATTTGCTTGTGAGGACTACAAGACTCGTTTTAGCGAGCAACTCGGTGCGCCCAAAACTGCCCAGCTGTTCCTCGAAAGGTGCCGAGTACAACCTGTAGCGCTGTGGGCTGCTCAAACAACCCGCTCCGCAACCTGGAGGTGCTGTTTCACGAGTTTCCAACAAACCGAAAATTGGAGAAGGTGTGGGCAAACGCTGTTCGACGAGTGAACTTTAGACTTCGGCTTTTACGCGACCGAGGAAAAAAGAAAAAAAAAAACAAGAAAAAAAAAACAGACGTGTACAGCCCACAACACGTGGGTTCGGGCGCCGCGGCCCACGTCGGATAGCCTCAAAGCTTCGTGTCTGGGACTGACCCGCAGCGCGAAAGCGAGAGGGCCCCCAGTACTGCACGTCACTGGCAGCGCGGCGTAGAGCAACGCCCCGATGACAATTTAGGCCTAGCGACGAGTACGGAAGACCGCACGCACGGCGACAGCCGCCGAGTACGGCACCAAACGAGTTCACTCGTTTTCCAGTCGCTAGCTTTGGGGTATACAAGCGACGAGCACGGCATAGCCCACGCACGGCGGCGGCCGCCAAGTACGGCACCGAATGAGTTCACCGGTTTTCCAGTCGATAGCTATTGGGTATACGCACTAACTCTTGTTACGTATGCTGGATATCTACCATGTATACAGGATTAAAACAAAATCAGCCTACCTCCAATCTTTAGACGCCTAGCGCAACAGAGGTAGGTGCCGCTCGGCCTGCGTACTCGTTGAACGAGAACGTTCCTGACGTCACGTTCACATAACGGCTCATTTCCAGTGTTGCCGGGGCCTCTAGCGGCTAGTTTCTGTTTTGTTTGCCGCGCCCCAAACACAACTTTGAGGCGTCAATATCTTTAAAACTACGCACAATAACGAGAAAAAGAAATTACACCTTGCAATTCAGGGACTCTGGCCGCGCTAAAAACAGTCATAAACCCAAATTCGAATGTATAGACCGGAGTTGCCCTTTAACCAGGTTTTGGAAAATAAAATTTCGGCTGTGTTACAGACTTTTGTGTGTGTGTCGTTACCTGCAGTCTCGGGATTTTTAAAATCACTTTTAATGTACACCAGCTCGTTTGCGCCCTTACATTTATTTGATTAAATTGGTTGTTCGAATATTTATACAGCACAATGTTAGTCCGCCATCCAGAGGGGCGACCATGGATTTTGTTAAAAGCGTTTTAAGGGCCCTTAAATACCCTTGAAAATTGGAGCGATCCTTGTGTTCCTTGAAATTCCTACAACAAATGCGTGAATGGGGCCCGTCATCTGGGGCGTTTCGTCAGTTCTCAAGCATAAAGCCAATCCAATCCAAGGCGTCCCGCCTGATCACCATTTTTGCTTTTTGTTGAGTGTTTTGAGGATCGTGTTGGTGAGCGTGAGACACTTTCAATCGAGATTGAAAGTCAAAAATAGAAATAAACAAACAAACCAAATACCGGGTGGAAAGTGTAAGTTCCAGCCTTTTTGGCTGGAACACAAAGACTATCGTCAGTGGGTGAGACCAGATACAAATGACTCCCTCCGAGCGAAGTGTGTATTTTGTCGAAAGTCGATTGATGTCGCCACAATGGGTGAAAGCACTTTTAAGAGTCATTTGAATAGCGCAAAGCATCGAACTGAAACCGAGTCAGCTGCTTCCAGCTCGTCTATCACCTCTTATCTACTAGCATCGGACTTGGCGCCGGATACGCTCAAACACCAGCGTGCAGGTGCAAGTACCTCACGGGCCGCGACCCTTGAAACGGATTGTCGGAAGCACAAAATGGTTGTTGAAGCCGAGATTCTGTGGACATTGAAGGCTGTGTCGTCTCACTACTCCTGCAGCTCCCTGTCGAAGATGTACAGCAGAGCAAATAATTAAAAACGCAAGGCGAGCCCTAAATGCATTCTTGAGTTTACATTTGAGTGTCGCAAGTTTCTAGTTGAAATGACATTGAAGCTTCTTGAAAAAAGTACTCTCAAGTACCTGATTGTCCGAGGGCTGTCCTGTTTTGATCCCAGGGAAATGTAGAAAACAGAAAGAGGCCTTGGGAAGCTCAAAGTTGTTTCAATTGACTTATCAATGCAAACCTTCTTTCTGAGCACAAGAGGAACCTGGTTCGGGGGCAGTATGTCAATTTTTGTCCCGAGTTTAGACATGAACTGCAAGGCTACGAAAGAAGGCAAGAGCGCATTGATAAGTTTTTGTGCGCCTGACGAAGTATGACACTTCTTTTTCCACACTGTGGGACGCACTAAAGCTGCTCCTTCTGCTCAGTCATGGCCATGCTTTCGTCGAAAGGGGTTTTAGTGTTAAGAAGTGTCAACAAGCAGATTGCTGTTGAAAACTTGGCAGAAATTTCATATGTTTCTTAGCGGATCATCTTCGACGCTATCGAAAACCATGGTGGCATGCTCAATATTCCACTGCAGAAGGAGTTAGTCCTCTGTACGCCTAGCAAGGCAGAAGTAATTAATATTTAGCATATATACTAGCATACTCAGAGGGATGTTGAGAATTTTTTAGTGCACTTAAATTTACACGTGTTTTGCACTAAGTAAGAAGTGGACCAGTCATCTGGTCTCTCAAAAATTCATAGCCTAAAACAGGGTTGGGCAGAAGTACTCAAAAATGTATCTGGAAATACAAATACCGGGATACACTAAAATAGTAGCTAAAATACTGACACTGAAATATATCTGTAAAAGTGTATCGCGGTACGTATTGGAAATACATTTTAAATAGAGAAAAAATGTATTTACAAATACAAATACAAGGATATCTTTTAGAGAGTGCAGAAATACAAATACAGAAATTCTGATCATGCAATACATTTTTCAAATTTGTTTGAGACGCCAAATGAGATGAAGCTTGAAGTTGGAAGTGGAAGTTTTTTTATTCTGAAATTACTTTCGTGTAGGCTTGGCACTTTGCCTTGAAGGTAGTGATTTCGAACGACGACTAGTACTTAGTATACTCAAGAAAAACGTTCCATCAAAGACTGACCGCTGTCCCTTCCCTGACATCCTGTCTGTCTGACGAGGGATGCGAAAATACTTCGACCTCTATATAAATGCTATGTCATCCTAAATTCCATCAAACTGTCACCATATGCCTGTCCAATAAGGATGCCACTGTCAACATTTATCACATGACGTCACGGTGTAATGAACTGGTATTTTTTGTCTGTAGGTGGTGGCCTTGAACATGAAACTTTACCGCGCGTTTGTATGAAAGGACAATACGTGCTTTCGTTGTAGGTTACCTCGTTGAAGATCATGCAAGCAGTGTCATTTGGAATTTTCGAGAATAGTGGACCGCCTGAAGCATCCTGGAACACATGTCTTCTGTTACGGTTGATAAAACGATATGGTGGCATCCCTGTTATGAAGGTCCTTTCTACCGAACCTCCGCCACCGACGCATGGATTGTAGTCCTCAAGTTCCGTCTTGCATACTCCAGATAGAAACCTCGTGGATTGCGACCTGATATTACCGGCCTCGGCACAGGTGCGAGCTCTCCGAGGAACAGCGCGCTCGAAACGAGTCGCAGGTGTACGAAGTCTGGGTCGGCACATTAAGGCCACGTCTGACCTCCGTCCTGGGTTTCCGATTGGTGGAAGAGCGGGTCACTTTCACGTCGGCTGACGACGTACCATTGAGTCGTGCAATATTACGGGCGCAGCCGCAGACACATTCGAATATGTGTTGAACTTCCCTGCGGCTCTACAAGTGCTCGTGCAGCAGCCGCTGCACGAGCACTTGTAGAGCCGCCGACACGTGATCCCAAGCATTTAGCTCGCGCTTTTTAGCAGGCACGACCAACAATAGTCCAGGCTAAGGTGACACAAAGTATGGTCTGTATCTGTCTGGTTTTTAGCGGTATCGGGAGAAGGGATTGCTTTACTATTTGAGTTGGCTCATTAGTTTCATGTTATGAAGAGACAAAAGATGACTGCAAGGAAATGTGAAAAATGAGAGACAATGTTGCAATGGTGACATTGCAGCTTTCTCTTTCATATAGATAGGGTAGCGTAACCTGCTTGGGGCTTCGTCCTAGCTTCCACTTGCAATGGGGGATCACGTGCTATTGTTAGGGCTGCAAAGCGAATTTCTTGGGCATTTCTCGCGGTTACAAACAACGCCGGCTCCGCTTCATGGGACTGTTAATGCTTTCGCATGAAAAAAAGAAACACTTTCCAGCCTCTATTTTCTTCATTTAAGAAGTTTTGTTTTCAGTGATTGAAACGCTAATAAAATATTCAAATATTATTTTCAGTCGTCCTGTCTGAGGGTATACTGCAAACGGCTTATTTTTCGCGGGCTCAATATTTTATGATCTAGGTTAAAGCTGAAGTTTTGGAATAATTCGCGTGTTCTCATTCTTGCGACGCGGTGGGATCTCAATATAGATTTCAATGTGTTTACATTTGGCCGGAATTGTTCGCGGGACCTATTTTTCGCGAATTATAGGTGATTCGCGAAAATTGGGTCCTCGCGAAAGTTAAGTCGTTTACAGAAGAGTATACCTCATTCTTTGCAGCAGGGCTGCCAAAGAAATTACCCTTTTTTGAATTCTCGCAATCTCAGCTGATTTTGAACTCTTTCAGCTCTGTCTATTTGCTGACATGTTTACTTTCTTGGAGCCACCAAGAGAGTGATTGAGGAAAAGAGGATAGCACTGTGTGCCCAATAATGAAAGAGCACATTATATAGTGTGCTGAAAGGAATACTGAACCAAAATCTGAATTTCAGCTAAGAAGACAGTGGGAAGCTACAAACCCTAAGACGCCACTTTTATAACAATATAGATCGATATGTCGAACGGATGGCTGTATTCTTGGCAAAAAGAAAAACGCACTTAAGCGAAGCTGACATCACGTTATTGGGCTCCTCGGCCTTTTCCTCTGTCCCCAGGCAAGCTTCGGAGGAGCTCTGTGACGTGACATCAGACAGCCTGCCAGCCTCGCTCAATTGCATCTTTCTTTTCCAAAAATACAGCCATTCTTTCAGGATATTGTTGCAAAAGTGATGTCTTGGGGTTTGCAGCTTCCCAGTGAACGGTCCTACGGCCTTTTTGGAAAATTAACATTTCGGTTCAGTATCCCTTCGCGGCGTCCCCAACGATTTTTTGATTGGTCTGAAACTTGCGCCGAGGCTTCCCTCGGGCAAAATGGTAACACGAAGAAACCATTTTTTTCCCGCAAAATTCACATTGTTTCAGAAGTTATGAGCGAAATAAAATGACAAATTAAAGCAAAAATAAGGATTTTTCTATACATAATACGGCCCCTCCAATGGTGGGACGGTAGTGCCACTCCTCGAAGGGCGCGTCAACTAGGTGCAGATCTCGTTGTTTCCAGTTTTCACACCTCAGTTTGTTTACTTTATTGCTCTCAAATCTTGACGCAAGCAAAGCAGATGCTCAAAAAATAGTCAAATAGGACCATAACTAGGTTCCTTGTTTCTTCTTTTTTTTTTCTTTTTTTCGGGGGACCGTAAGGCACTTCTGAAATGGATCCGGAATGTACCATAAATTTCATTCCTTTAAGTGGTTTTCACCTCCCAGCTAGGCGGGCTTACAGAAAAAAGTTGGGATTAACCTGAGTTCCATAAAACCCATTCAAGTTTCGAAAATTGGGAAATATCGGGGCGTATCTGAAAATGAAGGCCTGCCCATAACGCGTTCAATATAATGCAGATTTTTCATGTCGCTTAGAATCTACAATACTGTGTCCAGAAAATAATCACTAGGCTAATAATGAAGCTCTCTATAATTTTGACAAACCTCCTTAGATACCCTGCTATCTTTAGATATGATGTTTGTTTTTTGTTGCCCTTATTTTATTCAGTGAAAAAACATTCTGCCCTCTTGAGACAGTTGTTCAAAAGTATAATTCCAAAAAGATTTAGCATTTCCTGTGTTTGATGAGATTGTCTCTTTTATTTTCGCAGTTGGCTTATCTCACTATATGAAGAAGCGCAAGACCACGGTGCCCGATGACGACCTGATCAGCAAAGCCCGCTTTCATCTCTCCAACTTCTTGAGTGAGAAGAATCGACCTTCGAAGGCCGAAAAAGTGCCCACAGGTGCCCGACACATCCTGTGCCCTTGGGGTCTCCTAATGAAAAGTAAGCTTTTAAAGGCTCACCGTAAAATCCCAACACAAGCCCCACCCCCTAAAGGTAACCCACCCCTGTTGTTGGCTTGATTCGCTAGTTTCTTTTAAACACCGAAGGATAGCCCGCTCTTAGTAACCGCAGTATTGGGATCTATGATGACCTCGGCGTAAATGCGTTCAGTTAACTATGGCCGGATATAAGCGAGCATTGCCGATTGGTAAGTAGTGCATCCATGTTTCCTTTATTGCCCCGCCTCAATACCAAGTTTGGCAGGGAGACTTGATATTAAAATAACATTTTTTAAGACTTCTCTCGACTGCACACCGAAAGTTAGCCCACTCCTTATTTACACCCAACTTTCTCTCGATTTTAGGTGGGCCATCTCAGTGGATGCGGGCCAGCGGCCTGGTTCTTCTCGCTTAAGAGTCCTGTCTAGAGAGAGCCAGCACCGGCCATTGGTCACCTTTGTTACCTCGGTCCCTTAACGGTTCCTTTATTTGCAGCGCCCTTCTGGGCCAAGTAGACCTTCCCTTTGTGTCACACCTGGGAAAGAGGTCGACCCTTCTTGGGAAGTTGGTCACGTGGCGTCAGGTGGCGCGGACAGGGGCAGAGGCGGAAGAAGGGATAACGGGAGGCAATGGGTTGCGCCGAAACGCCTCTCACACTGTGAGCACTAATAATTGTAACAAATCGCAATGTCTTATATAATAGTTTTTTTTTTGTTTCTTTTCAAGCGGAGTTGTTAAGGGCTAGTTTCCCCAGAATCGTGTTCCCCGTAAAGAAATGCAGACACCGAACTCTGGACACCTACCGCCATCTATGAGTGACGGCGGCAAGCCACGTGTCTGGTCGCCGCCGTCGCTCATATATGGCGGCAGCCTTTCCACTCTGGCTTACCGACTTGCGGCCGACCATTACTTTCCACTGTACAGCTCCGCTGGTCTTCATTCTTCACCAGAGTAGAAAGGCTGAACGTTTTTCTGATGGTTTGTTTGTAAAAACAAACCATCAGACCATCCCAAACCATCATTTGGTTTGTAAAAAGTTATATTTTTCCGCCTAATGATTATCGTTCGGCTGGTGTAACTGACATTAAGGAAAACTTAGAAGTAATTGCTTACCCTTCCCGCCGTAAAAATGGTCGTCTCTGTTTATTTCACAAGCATTACTACCTCAACTCATTCCTCCACCAGAGAGTTACGTTTGAATAATTTTATAGTTAATCTCGTCTCGATGACATTTACAAGGTTGGCATACCAAGCGTTAACCCATAAACATTCAACACATAAATCCTACCTTGAACTTAAAATATCAAAAATTATCTTCCCGCTTGAATTTCTGCAATAACTTGTGCTAGTCTTCTTGGGAAACTCATGGAGCCCGTAATTTAGTGATCATTTCTGTACTACCTTCCATCTGTAATGTACTTTGCTTCCTAATGGTAAATGAATAAATGAACTATTAAACAGTCAGTGGCATTTGAGCTTTTCAAAGCGGTTTCAGAGGAGAGAGAATATCATCCCGCGTTAAACTTCGCTCTCTTAGGCTGACACTCCAATCAACTGAGTAAGGAACTGCCAAATATTTGAAAAATAATCCCAAGCTTCTCTATACAGTTTCTCCGTTATCCCTGCAAAGATGCTGGAGAAAAACTGACTTTATCAAGATTTACAGCAATATTCGATAAAAGAACTGTGTTTAAGGAAACGAAGATATTACATTAAATAAAGAACAACATTGAATCACACTTTAAAATGCTTTCAAGTCTGGCTCCTATTAAGCTTTAAAACATAGTTTACACAAATCAATATTAAAACAAACTCAGCATATCCAAATCAAAATGACTTACGAAGATGCTATTTTGGTCACGTCGAATTGTAGGTGCTGCAGAAAGAAATTTTTGATTAAGTGCAACAACAGACATTATATTAGTTGCTTGTTTCTGCTCAAAGGAATACCAAATTCCCAAATTCCTTGATTTTATTAGAACAAAATTTCAGTCTCTATATAAACGTTTTAATATTACGTTCTGACACGAATAAATTGCATGAGCACTGTAAAACTACGAGTACCTATAGTAATGTACAGGTTAAGAAGGTTGCGGCAAATGCCCCTCAAACGGAATCATGTATCCCTCCGCCACCTACGCATCCGATAGCGTCCCATCCTTTCCGTGACGTCGCAGCCAACGCGCGTTCAGGGTTTTGCCTTTCTGTATATACTTGCTCTATCTTTCGACTTTGACTTAGCATTGTGGAAGCCACAAGAGGGAGATTAGAGTTTCGCCCCTCCGATGAAAAGAAATATGACTTTCGGGGATTAGCTTGCACCTCCGATGGATACAAAGGCTGCTTTCAGGGGCTCGGTTCCCCCTCCAATGAATGCAAAGGTCGCTTTCTTAAAGAGTGGGGGTCGGAGACAAGTTGGCACCACTCTGTAGCCATTATCTATCCATTGAAGCGGAACAAGGAGCGTTTCCAGTGAACCTTTTCGACTGCGGAGGGATTTGAAACGGGCACATCACGCTTGTGGGAGGAGCTTCTCCTACCTTCTTGACTTGAATATAGAAATATATTTTATCACGAGGACAATCATGCAAATAAGGCTAGATAAGCAAAGGTAAATTTATCATTGACCTGAATTTGAATTTGCGATAGTTAAAATTGGGATTTATATCCAGTAGACGCATGATGCACGACGCATTGAAAATAACATCTCAATGATTACTTTTTTAATAGCTCCTACATTTTTAGAGCGTTTGGCGACTATGCTGCACAACAAATGTCACAATGTGTTTCCTTCTATGAAACCATGCTAGCATCTGCTATCTATTACCTCAAGAGAACTATTGCAACAATTGCCTTTTTAACCTACAAGCGGGTGCCCGGGTATGGTTCGGCAGAAATACTGAGACAATCAAATGCATATATCCTCTCGACAACTTTTCGAAGCGTTTCAATAAATATCCGAAATTGTAAGAAACAATTCAGAAGTCTTTCCAGTTTATTTTCTCTCAGTCGACAACGTGTATATTAGCAAAATGTGTGATTATTGGGGCACATGCTTTATTTAAGTTTTTTATGAAATAAAAAAACGCCAGATATCGGTTAAATTTTTCTTTTCTAACACTAACACATACACTCAATTTATACTGCACTGAGCCTAGATATTAACCTGGAGCACTGGTTTATATAGTCAGAAGTGAAACATAAAAGGACGGAATACTAAATCATGTGGGCACTAAAGTGTGATAAACATTTATAAAATGTTGTGTACAAAATTATGAAATCCTACGCCGAAGACAATTCGCTTTTTATTTTTAGCTCAACTTCCTAGGGCCCGGCTGTTAAAATTCAATTCCAGTTACAGTACACTTACACCATTTTTGAAGTTGAATTTGTCTGTGGAAGGTTAATGTTGTTTTTATAGGGCAAAATGTTTTTTACTGAAGCTACACATAACTGTTTATTCTGTCTCTTCTGTGGAATTTAGAGTTTAGTGTGCCACAAACTTACTCAAAACACATACCAAATTCTTTAAATATTTATGTAGACGTGACAAATTATACTAACTAACACCAACAAATTCAACAAGAGCCAAACATTGAATTTGAGCAATAACAACAACCAAAATGTTTTCAAAGGTTTTGAACTGAATGTCGCCTTGCACGTGAAACGTCGCTACCCTAGAGTGCTGTTTCATCAGGCGTCGGTCACCAAGACGTGCGCGAAGAGTCCGATATCTTGCCCAATTTCACTCGAGAAGCAGGGCACAAACATTCCGAACGGTATGTTCATAGCAACAATTTTCTTTCACAATATTTCTGCTATACTCAATCTGTCCTGACTGATGATTCCTATAAATTGAAATGTTCAGCGAAACCAATTGGTAAGGTGACTTGACATGAACCAAGTCAAATTCAAGAGTCTCCGTAAATATCTTATAAAGTCCTAATAGTCAAGACACCGCACCCGACGAGGGAAATTAGGAAGACACTAATTTTGATATTTAGGAAAAAGGTGCATGGCTCGTAGGATTCAGAATATTCAGGACCAAAACTTTCTAACCGATTGGGTGAGATTATTGCCCATTAAGTAGGAGTGTCATTTCTGTAAATGTTGAAAACAAATACAAAATTCACAGTTACTGATCAGATTGACTCTCTTTGGGTAATTTGGTAACGTGGCTTTCCGCCATTATTGTGAAGATATCGGTGAGGAATAAATCGCCTCGAATACTACTTCAGCTGGTAGAATGCCCGCTTTTTTCGCCATTTCACTGAACAGCGACTTTTCATCGGCAAGCAGCTGACACACTGGCCCGTATTCCAGTACTCTGCCGTCGCCCATAACCAGGATCCTGAAAAAAACAATGAGAGTTTTGCAAATTCTGGATGTGGGATTGATTAACTCACGCTCTTGGAACGAATCTCTCCAACATATGTCGTATTTGTCTCGGGGAGCTACATATCAAGAAAATAGAAAAGGCACTCACTTATCGTAGTCCAGGACGGTGTTGATGCGATGCGCAATGGCCAGAATTGTGCATCTGGCAAAGCTTTCTCTCAGCGTTGCCTGGATCAAGCGGTCCGTGTCCCCGTCCATTTGGGATGTGGCTTCATCCAAGAGCAGCACCTTCGTATTCCGGATTAGGGCCCTGGCCAGGCACACCAATTGTCTTTGTCCGACGCTGCAGAATAATTGACACAACGCTTTTTTTGTGTTGAACAATGTACAAGCAGTTTTGCTCGCCCTAATCTACATTGTGCTACCAGCACGAAAAAGCACTACTGTATCCGCCGCCGCACCATCGAAGAAGTCACTTTCATGTGACTTGTGCGCTTGACCGGCATGTCTGGATAAATGATTTGGGTTAAAAATAAATATGTGCAATACAAAAAACGCATGCGCTAGGTCTGGTTACGAGCATCAGTTAGAAAGCTCGAGGTCATGAAAGTTATACCGTAATTACTAACGCCAGCATTGTAAAAAATTGTGGATGCGGTATGAGACGTGTTTCCGCGAATACGTCGGTGATGGGACTACCCAATGAAGTAATGTATTGGTAGATTAGCTTAAAATTTATAAACGTGAAAGCGAAAACCCGTTCTCACTAGGATGCCCAAGCTTGCTATTAACTCGGACCATAAAACGCTAGCCCTGGTTACGCAAATCGAAGTTTATCATGAGCGTTTCTCTGGAGAAGTTTGAACGCTGTGTTGCTAGTAACGTTTCGTGTTGTCTTTTTTTAACATGTTCTTTCAGTCGTCGTGGACGATTACAAATTCTGCGGCTTGCAGGTCTTCATCCCAGCCTTCAATACTGCTGACTGGATTGCAGTGTTTTGGTTTCACGATAGATGGCGGCACTTTCCACTCATCATCTATCTTTTTTCAGTATGGTGTGTTTCCGCTTATTAACAGACGGTGCCACGTTCCCGCCATCTCTTATTTCGGTAATGTGATTTGCGCTGTATGTTTTCTCTGTTTTGTGTTACGACCCATAATGGAGTTCTTTAATTGTCCACACCGGAGTATTTTCTCTCTTTCTTTGACTCTCTGAGCCGACCGTTCCATGACGGTCGGCTCAGGTTCGGCATTGACCACCGGCATCAAACGATGAAATCTATAACTAGGGTCTTTCTATCGTAAGGCGGTCGCCGGGCGCACTGGTAATCTTCTATTCAGTTTTGGGGGTTCCTTCGCTATTCTTAGCGGGTAATTACAAGTCGGTACACGTCCTCTCCGCTCACTTCTGCGGTGTATCGGAACTCGGACAGGGGCCTCGAGCACGGAGGAGAACTGTTCTGAAATACAAAATAAAGTATTCTTATTTTTTTGTCCCGGGCAAAGCACGGCGAAAGCGCTTACTTTTAACTGGCTAATGTTTTAAATTTTCAATTTTTCTGACTTTAATTCACAGTTTTAGAAGAATTCAGTGTACAACTTCCTTGGATGAGAATCAAAGGCCGTCGTTTCCTTCATTGAGATAAACTTACTAGTTCTATGTCCCGATTGTTGCATCTTAAAAAAAATTAGGGGAAGTCTTATACGCATTTGCTTTTAAACACAGCCTGGACTTCACCGGGCTTAATAAAAATCACCAGGAGCACCACGTTTATTATTTTAGTAATTGCAGCCAGTAAATGAATGCTCCCAGCATATAAAATGGGTATGAATGTGTCTTTACGGTGTTAATGCAAAACAAAATTATGCAGTCCTAAGAAGCTCATAATTTATAAGCCTAACTCAAATTTAAAAAAAATGAAAACAAACCACTATACACAAATAAAATAAACTTAGGCAAGCTTCTACTGGAAATCATTTTGTCAAATTATCCTTGACAACGAGTCATTTTGTTAAGATTGTGCATTTAAACTGACATATCATTTGATCGATAGCTAACGCTTCAATGACAGCCATTTGAGACATTGCGCAGATGTAGATGTGACGCGATGACCGGAATGACATTAACTAAAAAAGAAAATTTTGTGATATCCTTTACATCTGATGTGCGAGTGAAAATATTACTTTTGCGGTTCAGTTATAATTTCTGCCAATAAGACGCAACAAGCACTGGGATCACGTCCAGATTTTGGGACGCTACAGAAAAGCCGGTGTTGTCTGTAACCATCTGTAGCATCGAAACGGCAGTTGAATTCCCATTGGCCAGAAGCACGGCAGTTGAATTCCCATTGGCCGAAAGCACGACAATTGAATTTCCATTGGCTGAAAGCACGGCAGTTGAATTCCCATTGGCCAAAAGCAGAGCAACGGGGATGAACCGTCACGGAAGCCGTGGAGCCGGCGGGATTCGCCACGCCTGCGCAGTGGGGGAGCGTGATGTCACCGCTGGAGCGCGTATGGCTCCGTAGCAACGGCGTCATCGTATCTAAGGAGTCACCCGAACTGCTGGCGGCGCATTGGGAGGTGCGGGACGCTGGAGCACCGTGTGCGAAAGGAAGACGTGGCGCGCTGCGTGTAGAAATGCTTTAGCATTTCTACACGTAAGAAGTCTTAAGTGTCCTGCTGTAAAATTTTTTTTTCTTGCTGGCCATAAGCCGTCTAGAATAATGAACACTCATAGTACTGAACATAAACGTTTAAAAACGTACTTTTTGTTACGCCGCAACTATTGCACCTGAACACATCGCGGCAGCTAGTGCGCCATAAGAAAGGCAAGACTTCTTCAAATGTGGGATCCTCGGTACTTGATTTGTTGAACAGACACAGAAGCGTTCTTTTGTTTCGGATCATCATAAACAAGGATGTTCGTTCTTTCAACTTTGTAGCGCGGCAGTTCACGCGAACGACAAGTAGAAAGAAATTTGGCTGCGGAGGAAAAGGAAGTCGGAATACCGGATTATCATTGGCGCCGAGTCCCACCGTGCAGTGGAATCCGTACGGGGAACGAAACAGACCATCGCGAAGAAAAGCAAAACATAATACAAAATGCAACATGATTCGTCGGTAAATTTTCTGCGAAGTGGTTCAAGCACACAATCGCACTTGCATACCCCTCTTTTGCCTGTTTTAGTACAATATGTACTTCCCTATTTGTTTTTCTCTCGAATATGGAAGCAAAAGTATACCTTTTTTCCGTTGCGTATGTTGTGTTAACGCTGAGAAGAAAAAAACAAACTACCGCACCGCGTCCGGAAGTGAACAATCACCGTACCGCCATGGTGCGCACGACGTAAACAAACCGGGCATCCTCACAATCCGTGTATCACGTGACATTTACGTGCTGCTCAGTGATACCCCCCAGCGTCGTTCTCGTCGCAAATTGGCTTCTAGCCAGTCTTACCTTAGGTTTGAACCTCCGTCACCTACTTCCAAGAGGAGATTGCTCCGTTGCGAGGCCACGAAGTCAGCCAGGTGGGCTTCTCGCAATGCTTGCCACAGTTCTTCGTCTTTATGGCTCCCTGTGGCATCCAGGTTATCTCGGAGGCTGCCCCGCACTAGGCTGGGGTCCTTTATCAAGCAGAATAAATGCGCCGGGAGGTACTAATTAGTAAACTGACATTCCAGTTTTACCGAAGGGCACATTTTTTTAACACCGCGAAGAAAGCCTAGATCAGGTAGAAACAGAAACAAAACAGAGAAGCAAGCAAACTTGTTGTTTGGTCTCCAGTTGTTTTTCAGCTAAAATTTGGGCAGTAAACCTACACGCGCGGTGCTGTGTTAAGTTTCAGTGTTGGGCAGTATCATTGTATGAAACCATCTTGACATAATTTTATAAATTTATTTTATTTGTTTTTCTATATCGCGACACAATCTTTAAACCGTTTCTTTAGTTATCTAGTGAGATATATCTTCGGGAGCTTCTCAGTAATCGTGAAAGAGTATTCGGGCGAAATATTTCGTTACAATTTTCAAGGATAAATGGCGGAAATAATAAAAATTAAGCTCTTAATGGTCCGTGAAAACATTTTTACGGTTCATGGAACTTTGTAATGACCCATCAGATATTGATCATCCATCGCACTTCCTTGATGATTAATTCAATTATTTTATGGTCCGTTAGATTCTAGTGACGGTGTCTAATGGACCATACAATTATCTTATTGTGGCTGACATACAATCAAAGGCTTTTTATAGGGTTGGCGAACCCTCCATGCAATACTGGTGGGGGCTAAAATACCATAAAAAAAGTGAAAGCCGTTTACAAATCCCTGTAACGCCGAATTGGAGCGCAGCTCTTGAGGAGGAGGAGTGAAGGGTACTGAGGGGAGGGTAGACCCCTCCTCCTCCCCTCATTCTTTAATATGCTCCGGGGGGGCGGTCACGTGACCTCGGGGGGGGGGGTGTCACGTGACTTCGGGGAGGGGGGTCACGTGACCTCAGAGGAATCACGTGACCTCAGAGGGGTCACGTGACCTGGGGGTCACCTTGGGGTCACGTGACCTTGAGATGACCTTGGGAGGGGTCACGTGACCTTGGGGGTCACGTGACCTTGGGGAGGAGACCACGTGACCTCGGGGGTCACGTGACCTCAGAGGGGTCACGTGACTTGGGGGTCACGTGACCTTCAAAGGGTCACGTGGGGTCTTGGGGTCACGTGACCTTGAGATGACCTTGAGAGGGGTCACGTGACCTCAAGGGGTCACGTGACCTTGGGAGTCACGTGGGGTCACGTGACCTTGAGATGGCCTTGGGAGGGGTCACGTGACCTGGAGGGGTCACGTGACCTTGGGGGTCACGTGACCTTGGGATGACCTTGGTTACGCCGACGGCGACGGCGACGGCGACGGCGACGCCGCTCAAGCCGGGAACGGGCCCCTAAGAGCTGCGCTCTAAAAAACTTTTCTTATATCGCATGCATGAGACCACCAGGATCCTCCACTCCGGAGTTGGAGTGATTCTGGAAACATTCAGCACTACCATGAGCCCAGAGTGGAATTGAAGTAGAAGGGCGGTAGCGCAGGAATAAATGGATTGAGAGTCTAATTATATGCCTCTTGCCCGAAATGAAGTGGGAAAAAAATGGGCTTGCTTCTAAAACGGCGTGCTGGAAGAACTCTAGCCCACGGTCAAAGTGGTTATTTAAACAGCATCCTTGAACTTAATTATGTGACCGGCTTATGTTCCTTCGATGATGAAAGTGGCGGCCCTGTCAACAACTAAAGCTTAAAATTTCCAAACGGAAAGATTTTCCTGGTGCCGAGGGACGTGACGAAATGGCGGTTGTTACAATGCCAGATCACAGCATCGTTCATAGGCCATCAGGAAATTAGAAGACCACTCCGCCCGCTTTTCTCGTATGCCAGGCTTCTCGCTTTAGAGGCTCGCGTGGAACAAAAACTGTCGTAACTAGGTTTTTGTGACACGAACAGCCGCTGGCTGATTCCCCGACGAGCGTTTCATCACTAAAGCGCCCATGTACGCTTTACCTTACTATTGGCCGCAACGGATGCTACGAGTGACCTCAGTATATTCACGACTGTGAATGTATCACGTAGAAAATGGAGCAATTTAATAGAAAAATTCAGCTACTCCAGGGAGTTGAATATAATTGAGTCATCGGACAGTCAAATTCTCCGGAATAAAGTTGAACTGGAATGAAATGCTAATTCCGGAACTCTGCAGGATACCTGTATACCTTGATGGACTTTCATAACCTCCAAAATCTCAAGTTTCTCCTCACAACGTGGCGCGTGCTGGTAGAAGCCTGCCTATCATCATGATGCGCGGTTCCGGGCCGAGAGGTGGCGCCAAATCTTTTGCGGTGACGCATGTGTGAATTACTTCCGCCATGGAAACCTAACAGCTGTGTGTCTGAACAACCGTGTTATAAATTCTTAATGAACCGCCAAAAATAATATTCTAGGATATTCGGGACTCCTTTTTGCAACCGAAGTTTGGTTTTTAAAGATAGCTACGTTTGTCAGTGAAACGCATTGTCAATCCGCTTTGTGTGTCAAAGACATACTCTGCTCAGTCGCAAAAGGATTTGCTTACAGACAGGTTGTGTGAACTAAATATGCGCGAAATAACAACGGTCACACGGATGTAGATTCTAACGGCAAAACGAGGCTTACCGGGTTTTTTTAGCGTGACAATGCTAAGTGCGTTTTACTTTGTCGCCCAATGCAATCACGCCCAGAAATGTGGGCAAAGAGAGAGTGTAGATATCGGTACCGCTAAGCTGGAACATTGCGGAGCCTAGAAAGTACCTACTGGATTATGCCACCTCCTGTTTTTGTGCTGTTTATTGCCTGCAGAACTTGTACATGCAGCTTCAACCTGTGACCCCAGTATCACCTTGCTTCTGCAGTAGAATCTATTCGAAATTTCTCTGCTTTGTTTTTCTTTTATATGACCGCACGGTTAGTGTTACCTCTATGAAAGCAACCATGTTCTTGTCAAAAATATCCATTCGTAGAGAATTATCTCGTCTATGTTTCTTTCACACGACATATCAATCTAAGCTAAAACTTTGAAGAGCGCTATTCACAGTATCATCCTACAAGTCGTCACGCACCAATCATAGACTAAAATTTAGGATTCCTCTTTTCAGCACATCTACTGTTATTCATGGTATCTAAAACCTGAGATCGGGAAGGAAATTTGAAAAATAAATTTTAAGGTACAGAAGAAAGGTGACTGACAAGCGTCTCAAACTCAGTTAACAAAATCTATTTTATATAACTCTTTCATACACCTATCTCAATGTCGTTCACAACGACAAAAAGAGCAAGCTTTGTTTTCAAGGTGACCCAACTTTTAAAGTGTGTTCGCTGCGAACACACCAACGCAGAAACAAAACAGCCAATGTAAATGGAACCCGGCCGAAACAGTCCAAAGATAACTTAGTGCTTTGGCACACGGTCACATAGAGGAATGGAAAAAAAAAAGTGATTTGAGATCGCCGAATTCTCCGCATAGCCTCCCCCCCCCCCCCCCCCCCCGCCAAAAAAAAAAGATTTAAGGCGCTTTAAATTTTAAGTTAGTTTGTGCATCAGAAAGCACTAACAATAGGCCGAAGTAGGTACCGAACCGAAACAATTGAACAAAATTAAGCCCTTTGACACATAGGTACACAACTAAATAGAAGAATGGCGCTTGCAATTCCCTGGTTTATCGCCTAAAGATAATGCAAACCCACAAAAAAATTAGAGTCTACTTTTAATCCTCAAATAAAAAAACAGCAAAATAATAATAAAAAAAAACATGAGTCAAACAATTTAGTTACTATCTGAGAAACATTATAGAATACGTTCCGAGTTGCATTCAAATTGTCTGATGCAATTGCCTGACATATGTAACCTAACCGTTTCTTTCGCTACACGTTTCATGTCATTAGACTCTCTGCAAAGTACCTCTGTTCCTCGCCAATCAACTCTACAATCGTTATATTCCTGAGGGAACAGGTCCACTCGTCTCAGCCAACTCGTAATAGAAAAAACTGGTTGTAGGTGAACTGGCAAACCAGGGTGTCTCGTTCTTGGTGATCCCGTAGTAGGTAAAGTGGTCACACTGACATCGTCATAGGAAAAGTGGTCCAACATTTCCAGTTCGTTCGTCACATTTCTCATTTCATTTTCACGTTTTTCGCTAAATAGTCTAGAATCCCACAAGGGGGCGCACTTTTTAAGGGGAATGCTAAGGTTCAAACGAAGAAATGTTTTTGTTGGACTGATTAAGGAGAGCGTGTTGAAATGTAGATACTAGCACTTTAAAGAACAATTAGACGTAGGACGAGGACGAGTCAACAACACTTTTATTTAGCGATGACGTCTGACTATTCAAGCAAAAATCCGCACTGTGCCTGAGATTACCCTGATAAGGGAATGTTAAAGAGAGGGTGAAATGGTGGAGGGAAACATGGAAAGGTAGTTAACGAGGAGGCAAGAAAGGAGGAACCGGGATTGCCCAATTTCTACGCGGATCTATGGCTGTCCAATTTCTACGGGGAGTTGCATATTGTTTCCGATTCCGGCCTGAGAAATGTGACTTCACGTCTTAGTAGAGTTAATTATCCCCATGAGACGTTTTTGTTTATTTTTTAATGAGGAATGACTCTATTTCGCGTCCATAGCGGTCTCGGTGTGCCCCCTTTATCTTGGTACTGGCCAAGTCAGGTGCGAATACGAAGTAAGCTTTTGCGTAAACATTCATGGTTTTACTCTTCCAATTTTAAGAAATGATTTTTTTTATTTTTGTTCACCTCTTCGAATTTGGACAAGCGAAGTGCACACTTGGTAGAGCGCGGGCTTGAAGCATAATTACCTATAAGAACAAGTGTTTTAACTCTCAACTGAACACCAACAGGACGTACGATAGAGCTAACGAAAATCCAGCGCGGAGCAACCATGCTGCTGTACAAAAGCAATTCATAAAGTACGTGTAGCCAAAAAGACTCGGAGGCTTCGTACTGGGTCTGCAGAAATAGCGGATACTGTAAAGCTAAAATCACCACGGAAAAGATGATTTCCCGTGTTACAAAGGAACAGGAGACTACTCTCATCCCGGAGATCCGACCACCATCAATCTTCTAAATGTCCGTTCTACGATGAAAGTAAAAGCTGGCAAGTGAACTTGTTTTGGTTTCTTCACTATCTGTCACGTTTTAACAGCATAAATTTGATGTAGCCGTTTACCGGTTTTATTTTCTGAAGTTCAAGGAACTCCAGGATTCCAGCAGATCCTGTTCGAGCATGCAGCTAGTGGGAGGGAATGCATGGCTTCACAAATGCAACAAACACGCACGATGCGCCGAACCATAAGGAAACAGCGGCAGCAGGGTTGCGACCCATACTCTACAGTTGCAGCACGCGAAGAAGTCGCCCGTCTTTCTTTTAGTCTAAAAAAACACTGTGCTAATTTCGCCTTTGTATTCAATCTGGGTGCAAGCATTATTGGTTTTCTGTTCGCAGGTTTCACTCAAGCGAGAAGCTTTCGTCGCCCACGACAGCGGATTTCGCGACCGCAACCCATCTTAGTTTTTTTCCACTCAACGTAATTTTGATTCTCTGCGGAAGTTCAAAGCTTTGTTTCTGGACGGAACGTCAAAAGTTACGCCATCTCTTTTATTTCAAGTGCGTACTGTGCATGGAATGTAGAAGTACGCGGAAATTCCCTTTCTGTACGCTCGCCTGCCACACAAAATCGGATAGACCTTTCAAATGTATAATTCGTAATAGGGTTAAGTTTAAAAGTGTAAATCGGTAAAATCATCTGGCTCATTAAGACGGCAGACGCTTTTTCAGGCTTTTTGCAGTACTTGCAAGTCTTATGACAGTCTGCAGTGAAGATGGTGTACTGTGACTTTGAGTGTGCCACTATCATCGCCACTGGCAATATTTTCCCGCAAGTACGGATTCAAAGATGTTTCTTTCATCTATGCCAGGCCGTGCACCGCAAACTGTGCAAGTTTAGCTTCCAAACACGCTATGGTAGAGGCGAAAATTTCGCGGTTTTGGCAAGTTCGGACATTCGACCGCATGATATAAATACTATATTAATTAATATATAAAAATTCGTACTCAATCTCATATGATGATGCTGCCTGCGTTAGCACTTCTGCCACCTGCAGAGGTTCCAGATCCATTCGAGGATTTCGTGTCACTGTTTTCAACGGATGCGATGTCCCTTGCACTAATTGAAAGACACACACATCGGACGTCGTCGACGGAACGAATTGATATCTGCTATGTTTCCGACAAGTGTCTGGTCCGTCGACGCATCTCTCCTGGAAGGCGTTAGAAGCATATCCAACGCCGCCGAAGCTTGGCGCCGCAGCTTCCAGACTTGCGCGATATACTATGCCTGGAGCAACCGTTTTTTATTAGTAGTGTTTTAACCACTTTGATTCTTTTCAGAAAACACCAACAACAGCGGGCCCAACGGTCGTTCCTCGGATGTCCTCAGAAAGAGTGGTCTGTGCATGAAAGGAAGATCGCCCAGCTGGACGCTGGTGAGCCTCCGTCCGGCTTGGTAGCAAAGTACCGTGACCTCAGTTAGCACATCGCACAAATCGTGTTTGATCACGCCGCAGCTCAGCCGCTCTCAACACCGAAATATATCACACGCAATGTATGGCTCTAAGTCAACTTGGGACATTCGTTCCCAGCAAATCATTTGTCACAATTTCCAAATAAAAGATGTTTTGATTGAGTTTTTATAGATTTGGCAATGATCAATATTCCTGCGGCTTTGTGCGCATATTATGCACCACGTTTCCCGAAGGGTGTACTTAAATTTGTATACTCACCAGCCATGTAGACACTATTTCCTTGAACAAAAAGTCCCAGGGGGAGGAATCACTAGCGGAACCGTCATCGCGCAAACCGAGTGCAAGGCAAACGCCGCAAGAATAGCACACACGAGCAGCATCATCCCACTTCTGACACCATGTCGTGTGCCTTGCGGCGCGAGGAAGGGAAAGACAGAAACGTAGTTCCCAGCAGCACGAACCCCTTTGTTTATTCCATGCGCCGTATATATTGCCACCTGCCGTACATCCGATAAGAGGCTAGCGAACGCGGGCATGCGCACAGGTCGGTTAGTATGACAGATCAGTGATGACACAACAGCGTGGCAACACGGTCAGGATGACACCACAGTTACTTTGTACCAGAATAGCTCCTGGGCGCTCGTGAGAAATATGAACATGTCATTCAGCTTGTGATTGAGCACCCCTCGTCTAGTTTTTTGTGATCCGCCGTTCACATGGTGAAGGGCGAAGAAAAATAAACGATAGGTGACTGGCACCCATGCTGCGACTATCGCGACCTCAACGGGGATACAGTACCTAAACGCTACCCTATTTTAAATGTCCACAACTACACTTTATTGCTGCCGGACATGAATACATATTTTAATATCAACGCCACTAACGCGCATCATTAGATTTTCGCTGAGCCCGCCAATATACAAAACACTGCAATAACAACAATTTGTTTGTTGTTTCGAAAATGTTCGGATGCTGTTTCGGTTTCATAATACGGCCCGAAAAAAATGTATAACTCTTGTGGGAGACAAATTCCCACTCCCTCCACGCAGTTCAACATCTAATGCTCAAAGGGCCATCCTGCTTGCACGCTGAGACGCGTCTCTGCAATAGCAGTTCTCACCAGTTCAGAATGCAGCCGCAACCGCCCGGCCAGAGCATTTGAAAGAATGGCGCTCAGAACCATGGCTGTAATGCGGAAGTTTGCGCTCAGAACCATGGGGAATTGTGTGCGTAAGAGCGGCACCTACTGCCAGTTCCCCAACTGAGCCGGTACACTAACTCTGTTCAAACCTATTTTCGCGCGATGCATTGGGTGTTTCACCTGAGGAATCACGGTGACCGCGTTCCTGAGCCTCCTCAGCGGCACCGTGTTGATGTCGACGCCATCAATGCGGATGCTGCCCCGCGAGCTCCTGAGGACCCGGAGGAGCGCGAGCACCAGGGAAGACTTGCCGGCTCCTGTTCTTCCTACGACACCCACCTTCAGAAAGAAAGACACACAACTCCTTGGGTTCTAAAGTAAATCAAACAATTGAAGAGCTGCTTTTCCGCCACCCTTATCGCTGCATGTTTGAGGTGTTTGTTTAGCTCGTACCTTATACACATGGGAAAAAAAGCACGCACCGTAAGGAACTAACGTCAACGATTTTTCTTCTGCTACGGAGAAATGGCGGAAAATAATTGAAAATGATTGTGGGATTGTTAAAGGAGCACAAGAAGCTGTTACTAGAGTTATATCATTGCGAGACGAACCGCTTAACCTCCTTCCGTATAAAGGACAATCTCCTAAAAGAAGAATGAGTTCGTGTTACAAGCCACCTAAATGCTCCTTTTCCAATAGCATCCTTTTCGGGAAAGGACCTCGCTAACGTCTTTTAGTCCAAAAAAAATATACTGTTGACAGTAGGCGCTAACGGCACTGGAGGTGAGGTGGTGCATTATTTCGTATCCCTGGGGTCATAACTTTGAAAGGCTGATCTCAATAATGTTTTCTTCAGGCATCGTCTGACGATACTGTACCCTTGAAAAGCTTTCGTTGATAATTCGGACCTGAACTGTGTCAAAGACACTGATTTCTATGACTAGTTTCTGGGTTACGTTTGCACGTTTCGCGAATGACGTCACGGTCGGCCATTTTTTTGGTAGAGATATCATCTCTAGTGATACCAGAGTTGTGTGGTGGCGCAATGTATCGCCCGTTAGATAGGGTACACGTTTTTCACCCACAGATGAAGGGTCGCGGTGCGACTTCGTTGAAAACTTGGGAAAAGGCAAATGTTTTTCACCGAGCGTATCGCTGCGCGCCAAGGTAGTAACAAAACACTGAATACTTACTGATGGTAAGTTGTAGTGTTTTAGCGATCGGGGAGATTTGAGCAGCGCGCCACACAAAATGATGGCATAGTCGACTTTCCTCGGTCGCATACCGTGTTTAAAAAATCTGCTTTGTCGAGCGTCTTCAATGAAAAAGTAAATATTGCCCGCGGCACAGTGTACTAGACCCACGGATATTTTTATGGCAGCCTGCAGCCGCAGCGCTGTCCGCCATATTATTATGATTGCTATAGTTAATATAACTCTACCAAAAAGACGGGCCACCGTGGCCACATTCTCGTGCATAGGCAGGGCTAGGAAAATGTGACCCAGCAGATAGTCACAGAGGTCAGTTGTCATATGAAAACTGTATCTTCTTCCTCGTCACGCGTTTCGGGTTATTCAACAACTCGCCAGCGCGCTGACTCCTCTTTCGGGTATTGCGGGTATAAACCCTTAAAATTGGATGTAAATAAGTTTGAGATTTTAACTATGAGAAGATACTAGTTTCAAATTATTTAGACGTTGCAGTAAGGAGGCAATAATTCAGTGCACTGTAAATTTAGTATACTCTCGTGGTTTCCAGTGTCTGGCTACGACACGAAAGCGTCTTGTGAATGTTTCCTTTCATTATTATTTGAGTGATTCGCGCTTCAAAAGTCGCCCGTAAAAGAAGTATTAACTTCTAATGTTTTTAACGATTATAAATCTTCAGAGTATTATTTTGAGTTTCGGTTTTATCTTCGTCTGCCCAGTCCCAAAGAAATACATAAAGGTGATGAATAGCATTTTGCCGGCCGTGTGACAGCAGCTCCTGTATCAGAATGTCCTTTAGCGGAAAGCATAGTTCATGAAAAGAAGGTTTGACGCTCGTTGTCTGACAGGGGAATTAGTGTCACATCGCGATAAATTGTTTTAGAACTGTGTGACGAATATTGTTCCCCAACATCACGCAGACAAAAGCAAATGCCAGCCACTAGAAACCAAAAGCGGAACGTCATCGCGTAACAATTTTAGAACCTTTCGATGGTGAGATATACGCTAATAAAACACATTTTTCACGCAGAACGCTGGCAGTCAACAAAAGCGTCACTGCCAGTATTGAAAAAATAAAAACGGTCACCTACCACGCTTTGTCTTACGTTTTATCAAATCACGCAATGCTTTATAATAAAACACCCTACTTCCAGAATTCTGCACGTCCACCTCTCTGTCCGTATGTCCGCGCATACCTCATGGCAGGGCGTGCCAGAACAATTGGTTTGCATGCAAAAGCAACATAACAAACAATGTGTAAACATAAACAGACATACTTGTATTTATTCAAATATACCCATTCTCACAAAGCACCAGAAATATAACACAATATCTCGGTACCAGCCCGGAGCTCTACCTCTATGTAAGCTGGAGAACTCTCTACGTGCGCTGGCGAAGGTATGTGTCCTACATCTCTTTTTAAGTTAACATATACTAATACTATCGGTAGTGCAAGGTCAACCTGTAGAAAAAGGTAATCGAAATCAATTAAGAATACACAATTCTTCACTCCCTGATGTAACTCTTTGATGTTTTCTAAAACAAAATGGTCGTCCATGTATTATGCAGTTTATGCTATATAGAAAACTTCGCAGATAAATTACGTAGCCAATTTTAACGTTTGGTATATTCGCCACACTTATAGATTCGTTTCGTTTCTTGTGCATTTATAAGACATATAGGAGCCGGCAGAGAGTCAAGGTGGAGTGGTAGAATGTTTAGCACACCCCACCGGACATTTGGAGTGCCAGAGTTCAAGCACTGGCTCCTCCGTTTATTTTGGCTTTCGGCGGTTTCGTACAACATTCATTCTTTTGAGTACGGTTCATTCATATTCATATTTCAATTATTTTCTCTTTGAAGACCACGTACGACGATAAAAATTTCCCGTGATATGTTCAAACGTGGTTCTTGATTCTCGCAAATGGTGATTACACCGTGTCTCTAAAGCTCATAAACAATATTATTACACGTACACGTGACGAGATAAACACTGAGAGAATTTCTGGAGCACAACGAGCCCGTACCACATGCCGGCAAAGATAAAGTTGAAAATGATAGGGTATTTTTCATAGAGGTGACGCTAGCATTACGGTTGTAGTTCGTGAAAATGAAAGAAGCGTATCTTTTCTGATTGGCTTCCAATGCAGATACAAGAGTGACGACTGGAATCCCAGAGAGATGTTGCATATTGTAAATTCAAGCGAATTCAAACTTTGTAAAGCGAATTCAAACTTTGTGTGTTTGTGATATTGAGTGAAATTGGGACAACAAAAAATTTCGCTTGATATAACGTTACGTGCGGTTGGCATTATTTGAGATACGACGAAGAAGTGTATTGCACGCGAGGTCAAAAGGTATATCCTCACCGAAATATTTGTATGAAGACAAAGGTTCTAAACTAGCACTATTAATGAACTAGCTATGCGTTTGTCTCGCCAGTTTCACGTCGGTGAAACGGGCGAGACTTACGCATAGCCTTGCATTTGTTAGTGTTAAACTTTATAGACCATGAGTTGAAAAAAATTATAGGTAGAATTAATCAGGATTTGGAGTCTGTTAGCATCTTTATGATATAGAATCTCCCCGGCAAATTAAAGAATTATCACTCAAAAGAACAATAGATAAGAAAACTATGGTGGGGAGGTAGTAAATATAAATTGAAAATAGTAAATGTCTTAAGACTTATCCTCGCGGACCCCCCAAGCAACGAAAAGAGGGTGTGTTATTGATATTCACAGCGACGGGTTGTGACTGGCGAGTTGAGAAGTATTAAATCTATGCAAGAACGTTAAGTTATAGGTTAAGCTTGGAATGTTTTAGAAGCAGAATATAGTGGGAAACTTTGTCAGTGCGTTTGTAGAATCCAGGGAAGGGCAGACAACATGTGATCCTAGGTCTGAAATCTAAATCACAAGTGAAATTAAATTAAATATTTATTTAGAACTGAATAATCACAAGAAAATATATTTTTCGAAAAACAAGCTGAGTAATGCCGAAAAGTTTGCTTTCAAGAGACTGACAAGGTGTGAACGTACGAGAAGTTTACAAGGAGCACTGGTTATTGAGATTGGACGGTTTTTAATGAAATAATGCTTATCACCGCCCTTGTGATTGAGTACCACCTTCTTTACCTTCCCGTTCGATAAACGAATATCATCTTGCTAAGATAATAGAGAAGTAAGGCTTAGTATTTTTTTTAATTTCGAAACATTACCGTTTGCCCCTGCTGATGAGGAAAATTTTAGTTTTTAGATAATAAGCACAATATCAACATAATCAGTAAAAATTGGATTCGTGGGAAAATAATCCGGAAAATCTAACGATGGGAAGTCAGGCGTATCATCTGCAAAAAATGAGTCTGCCAAAGTACTAATTCAAAAAATGCACACAGTCTTCTATGGACATACTATCACCGCTTGCTGTATTTTGCACAATAGAGGACTGCGGTATTTTGTTCATTATATTCTATAGTTGTTTTGTTAACCAACATTGCTGGTAACATATGGGACATTCATTCTTGTTTAGCATTATTAATACCGTTATTTTACACTTTGGCAGCCGCGCGATAGCGGGACCAATGATACTGCACGTGGAAGATTTCGCGGTGCGAAAAATATTATTTTTATCAGAAATGCTTTAGGGTTCTGGTGAACCAAGTGACTGAGAGCTCCCATAACTGTACTTAAAAATGTGGTGGCTGAGTAGTTTGTTGAGTTAAAGTTTGATAAGGTGCCAATTTTCTTCACTGAACGCCAAGGGAGGCGTGAAAATATTCGGAGAGTGTTGCAAGGTCGTAATTGATTTTCTCGGAAGCAACTTTTGGCGTAATCACAAATTTAGTTAATATTAGGATGGTTTGGGCGCTGCTACTTTTACATAGACATGTAAAATAGAATGATCGCTAAGTTATGAAATATATGTTATGGTGAAACAAGTTCAAGAGGAGTTGTCAGGACAGGACCCAACACGGACGTTTGCTGATAATGGGGTCACTCTGGTGCGTCTCTGTCACTCCGCGACAGAGACGCACTGTTAAAAATGTTGGTAAAAGACAGTAACTATAGCAGGTACTGATAATCATAGCTATGCGCGAGCCTACTTTACATGTTCTAAAAAGCCACAGAATGTTGTTCGTGAGTATAATGTTGCAGCGGAAGAGCTATGTTATGGCCTAAGAAACGCAGAGCAGCAGGTAGGTATATCGACTGTGGCAATTAATTATAGCGGGAATGGTTTCTTTTTACTAAGAGTCATTCCTTGAGCCTTCAAAGCAAATTTTGGCGAACGACGTTAGTGAAAGAGAATCAGAATTCTGTTAAAGCTTTTTATTTCTGAGGTGATCATTGTGGAAAGCGACGACTTAAAAATGGCGAATATACGTAAAAGGCGGAAAAGTAATTGACTTATCTATAGTGATTGGTGTAGCGTGTTTTCTTATTAGTGTTTTCGTCTGCTCCGTTTGTACGTATAACCTGTATATGTGATGTGTTTAACCAATTGGCGACGCCTGTAATGTGTTCGTAATAAACGTGTTGTGGATGTACCAATTTTTTATAGAACATGAGACGGTAGAGAACAATAATAATTCAAAGTGGAAGAGAAATAAATAGAATTACAGATGGAAACGTCCTAAAACTCAACTGTCTTTTTTATTCAGTAGCATCTTTATATATACATCACTCTCAAAATTTCCCTAGCAACTCTCCACATAAAAACACGCACACAAGTTAAGAAAACACACACAAATGATCTGGCATGCATCCTAGGACTCTTCATCCACTAAAACGCTACAGTACATTTGCTTTCTCTACTCTAACTACTGCACACAACAATTACACTATGACAAAAAAATACTTTAGTGACACAAAAATATTTTGAACTTGTGTTTACTTATGTTAGCGACCTTGAGATTTCATGAATACACAAATCAGCTTAGTTTGGGACGTTGCTTCCTGTCGCTCTGTTCTCTTCTCTCCCGCTTTTGATTCTTCTCGCTCGGCACCCGCTGTGTTAAGATTTTTAAGAATATGGTAAATCCAGACCAGCTCGGCTGCGCCATTTCTGTTTTATTGTAGGAGACGGGAATCTATATGCGTGAGCAATGCAAATATTTTTGAAGCCCTTAAATTCGGAAATAGCTAGCGCCACCTAGCTTCTTAAGCCAAGTGGCTACAAAACTTTTATTTTTATTTTTTTGCGGCGGTTGGTATCCGTTTTTCAATCAACGTAGTGGTTTTTACGAGGTTTTGAGATTCAAGCTAGTTCCCCTTACTAACTCCCTTGTTTAGTAACCATTTCGAACCCTCCCGTTACAAGCTGCATTTACCACGAGGTTTCTAACATATGCGACAAGCAGTTACTAACCTTCAGTTATTAAGTACTGTGACCTTTTTTTACTAAAAGCGTGGGTTGATAGGTGGAAGCAAGCCCGGCTAATCTTACACCAACAATGGCGGCTCTTCGGCACCATCCCCTTTCAACTTTTCTTCTCCACTCGCCCCAGCACTCGGTTGCAGTGTTGTTTCGGCGCGCAAGCCGGAAGCAGAGTTACGGCGAATGTTTATTTGACAGTGTTGTCACGTCTATGGATGTAACTAAAGAAAATAATTCAAACACGTATATTTTATGCTGCCTTCATCCGAGTTCTAGTATTTTAATTTTCGGTTCCGAGAACCTGCACAGCTATTCTACATGCATATTTTCTTCTTAACCAAAAAAAAAAAAAAAGGGTTTGGCTTGTGATCGAATTTTCGCCATGTTATGATTGCAATAATCGTGTTTTGACGTCGGTCTAGCAAAGGAAAGTCACATGCATGAATTAAACAAAATTTACCGTACCTTTTCTTGCGGTTGAACAACGAATGTGACTTCTTTCAGGACATCTCTTAAGACCCCGGGCCGGTAAGACGTGGCATAGTCCTGGAACTCCAACCTGCCTTCCGAAGGCCATTTCTGATTCACGGGCAGAACCGAAAGGGCCTCCGGTAGATCCTTGTTTTCCTGGTCTTGTTCTTGAACGTCCACAACGGGCTGATACCAATAATAGACATCATGACTGATGGAACATGTTTTACTTCCGTTTCAATTATACTTTTATATAGTTTGTAATACTCGAAGAATTTGACCACATCTGCTCGGTTACCCATGTTGCATAGAAATCAGCTTAGTTACAAAGCGACGAATCAATCCGCACCAATTAATAAGGACGAGGTGCCGCATCTTCTAGAAGTGCGCTCTGATAATTGATTGCTTTATTAGTCATTTGAAAATTTGGACCACCCACATAATAGCGTGTTAATTTACCTTTGGAAAGCAAAGCCGTTGCAAGGGTCGTCTGCTACAGACTCCCAATCCAACGAAGTCCGATAAGCTGTGTGCTCAGAAAAAAAACTTGTACCTTGATCTGCATTGTATCTAGCTGTCGGTTGAACCCGCTTCCCCAAGAGGGAACGACCCGCACCTCCGCGTTCTGTGATAAGGCATCGATGTACAACACCTAGGCGTCTACTGCAGTTTCACGGTCATTCTTCCACTTTTACTTGGTACTAATGACGGCAGCTTGCACACCCATGACGAGCTTTGCAGCTTCTGAGACACTTGTTGCAAGCCATCATGTCATCACGATCTGCCCTTTGTCAAAGTCGCCTAATTCAGCAGCCTTTCCAGCTACATGCTAACCAAGCCAACAATATCATTCTTCTGTATCCCTAGCATCCGCATCAGCCGGTTGTGGATAACGCGGATGGTGCGTCAGGGAAGCACGCACATTTACAAAATATAAAGGTAGTCACGATGTTTTAGGTGAATTAGCAAGTAAATATAATATAAGTGTGTTTTCGTTTGTAATTAAATATGGGTGTCGGAGTTAGTATGTTGAGATTAAATCAAAATTCTACATATAATAGTTCCCTTTCTGTAATGAACAAAGACACACTTCAAAGCTTTTTAGAGAAATGCTTTTCTCCGAAAATATTCCGAGGTTGGGCAAGGTGAAATGCTACACTTTGTAAAAAAAGTGGAAAGGAGATGACGACCGACTAAATCGCGTCTCGCACCGGCAATATTGCTCTATATATTTATTTTTTCGCGTAAACTAATTTATTTTGACACGCGTGTTTCAACCAGGCGTTTTAAAGTTTGACACGCAATTCTGTTGGTTGTTATAAATAGATAAAAACGAAAACACTTACTGTAATTTTTCTTGTAATGTATGATTTCTGGCCTTTTTTTTTCTTTTTTTTTACAATTTACTGATTTGACATATATCATGCCAAAAATGAAATAAATGACCAAGGTCGTATTTTGACGCTTTGGTGACATATTTCGAGTTTTATATCTTAGGACTCAATATGCATATCGCATACGAAATTTTATTCGTCTGTAGGCGAACACATGTGCTATCGACTGGTACAATACTAGTCTAGTGGTCTATTTTAGATAACATTTAAATTTTGTAAATACTAAAGTGAGACATAATTTGAGCCTGCTATTGCTAAAACGGGTCATTTTTTTTTTATCCTTTCTACTGATCCCAACAATCTTAAATGTCTATCGGCCTAATCAAGCGTGTTCCCCCTTTTTGTTGTGTATTTCTTTAAGTGCTCAGAAACATCTGCACGCACCCGAATCAACACAATGGTACTTTCGCAAGTTGGCTTTACTGCAAGGGATTAGCCGTAAATGTTAAAGTTCTGCCCCCATTTAGTGAAATAATGTTTGCCCTTAGTTTTTGGCTATGCCGACAACATTACTGGTAACGCGTGTCATTATTTTTTTTTTTGGGGGGGGGGGGGGGGGGCAGGGGGTGAGGGGCTTTTTTAATTACGACGCTTGAGTCGGTCTGAATATTTTGGTTTCTCTCAAAATATTCGTTTATCTCTCATTCGCGGTATATTTTTCCGCATCTTGTATTTTCCCCTTCCGAAGACCACACCGCCTCTATCTTAAGGGATGCAAATACAATCAGGCGGGATCTGCAACAGGCAGTCTTTGTGTTGCAGCTATCTTCCAGTCCTCTGCTCGAGCGTTTTACATTTTCAGTTTCTTGAGTCCAGCTTTATAAATGGCTGTCGTTCACAGATGTGGTCGAGTCTGCTTAAGATGTTCGACATAAAAAGAAAAGATATATAAATGAATATTTTCATTTCTTGAAAAAGCGTTTCGACATGGGTCTGGCGAAGTCATTTTTGCACTCTCACAGCGCTGCTGCGATGAGGAATGCTAACGTGCCATGGTCAGAATTACTCCGGATGCCTGGCCAAAAGCTTTCTGTGTGACATGCTAGTCAATTGAGCTCATGTTTATGCCCAAGTGTATTTTCCGAGCATGTTACTTTTGAAGAGGCTAACGAAGGCATTCTTGGCGGCGTACTAGGCCTGACTCCACGTAGATTCCTGTCGTGTAATAACTAAAAAAGATCTAATCCTCAGCGCTGAAAATAAAGTAAGAAAAACGAAAAAGTCGCATCCAGTTCAAAATTGTTTTGAAAGTTTGGTAGTGCCTATCAGTCAGAACCAAACTGAGTCTTATCACCCATATTGATCCTCCTTAGCGTGTGGTGAGTCGTGGCTCAATGTCCGTAAAGGTTTTACAAATCCTTGCCCAGTCACGTGAGATGGCAGCTTCATTATACACAGTTTGTCAGCGTTTAGTGAACTTAAGTTATATTACCCTAAGCATAAAAATACATGCTGTGAAAACGGACACAACTGTAGACTAAATTCGGTGTGTGAAATTTTGAGATTTTTACCGTGGGTGGAAGGTTGGCGTGTGGATACTTAACTTGGTCAGTGAGTACAACACAATGACGATCTTCAATGTTTTATTCTTAGCCCAGACATAAAACTTGCTGCGAAAGCCATTAAGGACCGCAACAAGAAAGTCGCAGTCAGAATATACATCATAAGATTTACTTTGGTGACCTACCGGTGTGTCCGAAAGGCAGAACGGAGATTGCAGCATTTTAATCACTCCGTCTAAAATAACCCCTAAGCAAACAGTATGGGCTTACTTGAGATACTGCCACTTTCTGCTACAGTCTTTGCATTCGCTCAAGTATAATATGACAAAGCCAGAAATGATCTCCATGAGTCTTTCGCGAAGCTTACCGCAGCTGATCCACGTTGAGGTGATTCATGAAGTGAAAGCGTTCATTCTTATATACCGTATTTTTATGTCGACCACTAGACAGACGTAAGTTCAAATGCAAAATTCTGGAGCAGCTAGGTTACTGGAAGGCTAGCAACGAAACGAGGTTTCCCGGTTCTACATCTCCTTTACTGGGTTTACTCAGTCAGCATTTAGAATCGAGTTGGTACACTTTTGGCAGAGACTCAAAACGTTCGTAGATACTAAACTGAGATAAACAACAATATGCATACCGAACCAGGTTACGTAATATAAACAATATTAATAAAGCGTTGCCAGTAACGTTGTAAATGCAGTGGGGTAGGGACAGATATTTGTTTCCTAATGTTTCCCACATAACCCTCTGCACTCCCCCATTCTCCACCGCCACACACCGTCATCCCCAAAGGCTCCCAATATGACACCAATACTTCGAAGGTGCGATACTTGTACCTTTTTATTTCTGGCATGAAATTTGCCAAAGCAGTTTAGTTTCAAGGAAAAATAGGTGATGCGTCATATGTTTAAAAGAAAAATGACTGTGGGTGTTTCCGTATTTTTGTATATATTAAATCAACAGAACTGGACAGAAAAATCAACCAGTCAAAATGTGGCATTTCACCTTGCTCCACTTCAAAATTGTCCGGGAAAAAATATATTTAAACATTTCAAAAATGTTTTTTATTACGAAAATAAGACGATAATCTATCATTTTCAGGCAGATCAATACACCCATGACAACACGCGTGTTGGATTTCAAATAAAACCAACCATAAAAGACCAGGAACGCTGCCAAGGCGGAAGCGGTTTTATATGTAATGGACAAAACAATAACAGCCCGTAGGCGCGCTAAATGAAGACGTTTGGTACAAGTCGAGATGAATAACATTGTTCATCAAAAATCTCACGATAGTGTGGAACTCGAGCCAAAAAAGTATTAAACACCTCTTTTTAAGGTAAAGCGTACCTCTTGCGGCAGTTCTGTGTACTCCAGAGCCCGTTCGAAGGCCACCAAGTGTTGCAAGGAGGGGAAAAGCGCAGTGCACAGAGTCATCATGATCAGAGGAATCTGCACGAAAGATGTTTAGCCAGGTGATTTATTAGGGTGTGGGAAGACTACCCAATGAATGTTTTGCTACAGAGTCAGGTATATTTTTAATAAAGCCAAAAAAACGCAACTGTTCCAAACCAAAACCGAAATCTGCGCACGGAGTTCAGAGGAGTAGAAAGGAGAGAGTGAGTGGCGCAAGTCACGTGGCTACACCCGACTGCGCGCTTTTTTGTTTTCCCCCAAGTTCTTTTTTTTTAGATTTTTTTTTTGGGCCGCTCACAGCACACGGCAATTGGCAATTGTTGGGGGAATTATTTGCCGTAGGATTATTTTGCAGTTGTGTTTGTTCTGCTCGCTGTTCTGCGCTTCAAGATCTGTTGTTTTGTACATTGAAGAGTTGGAAATGAGAAATGAGTCCCTGTGGTGAATTCCCGTGATCGGCTCCGTAAAGAATACTCCCACGATGTTGCGCGAAGAGCTGCCTACATGTCCTGCATCCGAAAAAAGTGGGATTGTGCGGCAGTCTGTGCAATTTTCCGAAAGATCAGATGGGTCAGGGCCAATGACTGGCTGCAATTCCTGTAGAACATTTACGGGCACCTCGAAAAGCGGACGCTACCCGATTTATATGCTCCTCACATTTTGTGGAAAGTGATTACATTGAGTTTGCAGGTGGCTAAAAGGAAATTTCATAACATTTAGTTCAACGACGTTTCGTCCACATTTGTTTTAGTGATAAGTGTAATAAACGAATTTTAAACATCGAAAAATGCTCGACACACAAAAAAAGAAAAACAGTACGGCTACATTTGGGATTGAACCTGAGCTCACTGCGTGTGAAGCGGACACCTTTCCACTGAGCTACTGGGGCAACTCCCGTTCGTAGTAATGAAGCCGGTCGACTGTAGGTTGGAAAGTGAAAGTTTGCTGCCGATTTCTCTCCAACAAAAGCGCTCCTGGGTCGAAGTCGGGCACCACTACGCATTGGTGACATTCGCACCTAGTAAAGAAATCGTACGCGTGCATATTCAACTCGAAGCACGCACTTCGTGCTTGACGATTGCGCGAGTGATGTCTTCAGCCACGAGAAGGGGGCGACGGGCGACGTTTTCGCGCAAATCGGCTTGGTGGTCGGGGATGGCGTACCGGATGAATACCGATACGTTTGATCGGTACAAAATCCCTCGTTCATAAGAAGACAGAATTCGCCGGTAACGCGAACGACAGCTCTGATGTAGAGGTCCCACGCCGTCGTTCGCTGTCATCGCCGTTTAGCCCGCGAGCACCGCGAGTCCCGCGATATGCGAAACGACGCCATGCTGAGAGTTACACAGTGAACGCAGAGAAGTCTTCCGGTTCTCTGTTAATTTTTTTTTTTGAAATCAACGCATTTGCAGTGCCTAAACGCCACAAAAAAAAAATCTGTTTAATTTTTTTTTTCTATTTTAATATTCAATGGTCCACGAATTTGACTAAATTTGGTGGTTGTGTCTAGACCTTAGAAAATGGCCCGTGACCACGGAAATGAGTGAGTGCGACTCAAACTGGGCAGTTTTCGGTCGGCGGTTTTCGGGCGGAAAGAAACCAAATTCGAGCCGCAAAATCTGTTCTGGGTAGTTGGGCTCTCATACGTCACGTACAACTAAAAACCTCGCCGAGTATAAATGCCCTGTCAGTGTCCCTTTAAAAACTTACCAATACTCTTCCTGGCGTCCTTAATTTTAGTATCGTTTTTCACGGACGATATCATCAGCGACCTATATGCATACTTCAATGCTTAAATTGTACGCGGTGCAGACTTTCTGCTGACTCGAACTATGCAAGAATCTTGATTTTTCAAGATTGTTTATTACATTGAAACATAACGATTTTTGTTAATGGCAGGGTATATAAATGATGACTTTTTGTGATGCAGGTCTTTTTGTGATATAATAAAGCAGGCATTTCTTAAGGTGAGCAGTTCATGACACTTTTTTTACATGGGGATGGCATACCAACTACGAGCTACCTAAGAAAAAAAATTCAAATATTTTTGATATTATAATTTCTAAATATCTACCATAGACTTTGGTGCGAAAAACGATACCTTATTATTTAATCCTGTCTGGTTTTAAGGTTTTAGTCCAGTTAGTTCAACTGAAACTCGCCGTTTTTCAAGTCCTTTTAATCGGTACACCGGATATACAGAGGCAATAAGAAACATATAATATGCTCAATTAGACTCGAGGGTGCCATTATGTTTCAACATATGAGATAGTCTGCTGCATGTTATTTAAAAGCAAGCTTAGGAAGGAAATTAAGCATAACGTCGTTTTTGTTTTTAATTGGATCCTTATAATATTTGGAAGTGGCGACCGAATACCTCTAACTCCGTTTTCTTCTTTAATTGAAATTTATTACGGTAAGAATTCGTATTTTAATTTCAATTAAAAGTGTTCAGCTTTCAACAAAGCGCAAAGTTAGAAAATATTTTTTGTTGTTGTTTCTGAAAAAACTTGCGTTTCAAGCTTTACTTTTCAATAAAAGAAAATTGCGAGATGTCGCATCATTTGTTTGAAAGTTGCATCATTACAAAATTTCGATTGGGAACGCATTGAAGGCCTCTAGTTGATATTTGCATTTTAATAGACGATTGAAAGGTGTAATGGTCCATACGACAATGCTTGATTGCCCTGCGAAATTCCCTCAGGTTTGAGTGAGATCGCACAAAATTAAGAACTGGTTGATTTTTCAAAGGATATTTCTTTCTACATATATGAGCTCCTATTTCTGAAGAAAACTGCCCGCTCAATACTGCACTTCTGACCGGTTTGTAGGTAAACGCAAAGCATGTTTGTTCATACGATTCTCCCCCCTTTCAATCCTCTGCTACAATGCCTTTCTACCATCACCTCCATCTGTCTTTGTTAAATCGCCTATTGGCGGCTTCTTTTCTTGTCTCAACGCCCACCTACATCCTAGGGTGTCGGTTAGATTGGGCAAGATATCTTTTTTTTATTTCTGCTTTTTTCTTCAGCTACGGGAATATTTTCTACGGGCGTTTACGGAACTAGTGATAATATAGGATAAGTTTCGTCGCATCTGGCCTCCGCTATAGGGTTGCAGTCTGTTTAAGCATTTCGTTGGTCATTTGGCATAATGATCCTTTAGGAATGCTGCAACATATTGTGTCAAACACCAGGGACTTGACATCAATCAAGAAATTCGAAATTATTAACGTTGATGATCGTCTTCAACGCTGCTTGGAGATTGTCATCTAAAACAAATATGGAGCGCCTGAAAATAGAGCGTTTCATTTGATGAGCACGAAATACCCAACTTCAACAAAGCAATCTTGACATTTTTTTGTTTGCTAATTTGACAGTTTGTTTGTAAACAGTCATCAACGACAACACTATTAAATTTTTTATTTTCGCTCGGAGATTGAAGATTTTGTATCCATTAAAAACGAGGTTGTCTAAAATTCCATGCTAGCGGAAACTGGCCACCTTCATGACTACGCGAGATCCCGCGAATTATTGTTTTTCGGAGTAGTGAGGCACGCACTTTGTCAACGAGAACAGGAATCGTCAACATTACCTTTGACTGTAGCGTAAACACTCCATATAAAATAAGCTACCATCCAAGGTCCAGCTCGAGAGTGTCCATGGTGACACCGGTGCATAGTAGAGTATGTTAGAGCACTTCTCTTATGAAGTACACAAAACCAAAAGAGCTCTGAGATGCCAGAAGTTTTAGTATTCGATGAGACCCGTCAACAGATACGCAACTGCAGCTATCACAGGTATTCTAGCCAATGACGACAATTTACAATGACGCGATCGAAATTCCTTCTGGGCAAGGTGACGGAACAATCATCAATCAGATCACGTGGCGAAACCACTAAAACATACACAACATTGTCAAATGAAACGCACATGTCTACGGCTGATGCACGGTTATATCTAAATTGACATGTGTGAACTAAAATCTTTTGCTGTTAGAGCGGACACATATGTTAGGATTTTTTAAGTTTGCTAAGAATAGAACGTAGGAACCAATTTTTTACAGACGTTTTGCCGGAAGGTGAAAACTGCGCATTGTCTGTAAGAACTGAGCAGCTTCAGCGGGTCTCCCCGATTAAAAGATCAACAGAAAGTTTTGGTGGTCCATAAAACTTTCTTGATGACCTATCAGACCTTTCTCATGGACCATCAAACCTTCTTAATGGACCAGCACACTTTCTTGACGGACCATCACACATTCTTGATCGTCCAAAAGACCCTCTTTGTTGGCAAAACAGACCTTTTTGATGGCCCTTCAGACTTATTTGATGGTCTGACAGGCTTACTTGATGGTGTCTGATGGGCCATCAAACATGTTCTGATGGTGGCTGATGGACCATTAAGGGCTTATGTTTGTAGATCAGAGACCATTATAACGATTCTTGTAGTGACTGACGAACCATCGAAATGTTTTGATGTTGCATAAATGAGACCATCAGGATATCTAGATAAACTATCAGAACACAAAAAGTCTGATGGTGCTTCTCATGATATATTTGGCGACCCTATTGAAAATTCCATCAAGCTACGTAATTTGGGACACTGACTGCCAGTCAACAGCGTTGGTGGAACGTGATGGACCATCAGACGTCATCTGATGGTCCATCAGATGACGTCTGACTGCTACTGCCAAGGGAATTTCATCAACAAGGGCAGCATTTATATAAGAGTAAAGCTATACGCATTCATAAATATCGCCAAATGCCTCGATAAAACAAAATGTTCGAAAAAACAAAAAAAAAAATAAAAAAAAAGCACCACCGCGCATCGAACCCGCGACCACATGCGTACAAATCGGATATCTTAACCGCTATGCTACGCCACCGTTAGAGAAATTCGATTTGACTATTCGTTTTATACGAAATGCTTTGGCTGCAAATGCAGTTAAGTCGTCAGCATGTTATGCAAAGCACACGTACATCACTCGCCGTACTTCAGTTCTACTCACCTGCCATGTAGAGTACTTTCGCGTCGTAGGACGATCCTTTTGTTCGCGCATCACCGGCCCAGTAGACCTGGTACACCCTGTCGTCTTCAACTACACCGCTAAAGTCCCTTACATCGTCGGAACTCACAACAGGCTGGGTCTTGTCGAGTAGAAATTCTACTAAAACATAAGACATTGTAGAGCCCGGGCAGGATCGACAGGTTGGAGCGAGCGGGCAAACAAAACGAGTCGAGAGCGATCGTTCATGAAAGCTCGGCGAAGCCTCTATGGGCGAAGCGAAGTGCGAAGTGTCGTGTTCGGCGCTTTGGCGGGCTTCTGATCAAGGTTGTCGGTCGGTTGCGTGTCATATCTCTAACGTCAGCGGTTTTATGGGCTCACGTCCCAAAATCGTTTTCTCGTGCATAGATTACTTTTCGTATTAATAGATTTGACGAAATAGTGGTATCCGAACGAACTTTACGTCCTTTGACCGTACGTCTGTCTGCACGTCAAAGCTTTCTGACGTACAGTCAGAGACAATCGATGTACAGTCAGAATCACCACCAAGACATCCTGATGGCATTTCGCGGCGGCCGACTGCCACCAGAAAACCATCAGAAAGCCGACAAGCGGGGTCTGACTGGAGTTTGACTGTCGGTCAGAGTAACTTGTTGGCCAATCAGACATGCTTGACGTACAGTCAGGCACAGTCAGCGGTCCACTAGAAAACATTGACTGCCAAACAGGGTTACATTGATGGATTTTTCCTTCGGGGATGCAAAGAACCTAACTATATTCGGGAGGTTCCAGCAGTGGCCTAGAGGAGGCGCTACTGATCTCCCGTCGTCGTGCATGCGTGAATTACATTCGGTGTAGAAAGCTGACAGCTTCGTGGCCCGAAAATAATGTGTTCAATTCGTAATATTCCGCCTCAACAATTGTCCTAGTACACTCGAAGGGTGATGAAGACACCTTATAGATTCAGGTATGTTTTTCCAACCATAGCTTTGTTTTGAATTGTGTTTCTGTTCGTTGGTGAAACAATTTGTTAATCTGCTTTTCTGTCAAGTGGATCATGTTTACGTCCTAAGTGGCAAAGAATGTACCAAAAAACCGCACTTTGCTTGATAGTAAATTCATGTACTAGGCGTACGTGTGCGGTGAACTAAATGTTTGCGACAACAAATGTTTGCAAAGCCGCGAATGCGGTAATACGAGGCTTACAGTATTCTCGGGCCGATGTGGTTTTGTGTATTCGTCGCTGTCACACGAAGCCCTCGTGCCCAGTATCGACGATGGGGAAAAAGTGTAAATAGCCACGCAACGGACACCGATAGAGTTGCTGCTCGTCGTAGAGTCTCGAAAGCGGCGAGTGAATTAATCGCATTTTCTATTTCTTTTGTTTTTGTTGTTTAATAATTCAACGTTCAAGTCTTCGAAATAGAAATATTAACCTTCCATGACCAAAATACAAACTTTATTTCAGGCTTCTACGGGGATTGCGGAAGGTACCCTAAAGCTCCCGTGTTCCTTTTTTGAAATCATAATGGGCGAAGAATAAAGTTTATAGTGGACGCTAATGAATTATATTTTTTTTTCGCCGGTACATATGTCTGATTAGAAATTCAAACCGGAAATTAGACAAACAGACCATCAAACCATTAGGCCGTCAGATGTCCCCATATACCACAGATCATTGCACCATCACACCATTAAGCCATCAGTATCCCAAAATACGACAGACTATAAAACCATCACACTACCAGGCCATCAGACCATCAATGTCCCAAAATACGACACACCATCAGCCTGATGAATCCTCAGAAATTTTTTTATGGTTCTTTTTGATAGGATCTCATTTAGCGTGAACTTTTTTTTTTTTCTAGGATAGTGTTTGAATTTTTTTTTCACGCTTACAATGCTTAAGTGCATTCATTTCGAGTAACAGGACAGCCGGTTACGACTCAACCGGACTTAGCAACACGTACTAGATAACAAAGCCATTGTGCTGTATGAGATGACGTCATCAGCGAAGGCCAACTCTGGTCACAGATCGGACACGCCGATTGCGTCACCGTTCGGCTCAAACATGACTCAAAGCCGAGTGGTGACGCAACACTCGTTTCCAATCTGCGTCCAGCGCTGGTCTTTGCCGGTGAGGCAAGAAGGGCAGCACTACGGCCTTGTCTTCTGGGCGGTGTTGGCCTTAGAGGCGTACAGCGACGCAATCTCTTCCTCATCATTACTGAACACACACATTTAGCCGAGTCGCGATATGGAAGACAACCACGGCGAGTTTCAGCTTGTCATCCCAAGCATTATGCACACTCACTCTGTGGAAAGTGCGAATCCAGCAGTCATTACATTCGCTTCAACACCGGCGAAGGTAGGAGAATCACACTCACGGCAAGAAACAGGGATTAAGTAAATACCGGGGCGTACCTACTTGATCACCGACGGACATGACGGGAATGAATAGCAGACGATTGCTTCAAAGAAGCGTAATGAAAAGGCGTGCAGAGCTGGGCAGAGGAGGATCAAACCTCCGCCGAGATATGTTAGGTTGTTATATGGATCGAAGGCAAAGGGAGGGATTTAAATGTTTCGTTCAAAAATCATCAGCCATTCCCATTTGTGAAGGTGGATGGCTAATTTAGCCGATGACAGCAAGCACCCAGACAATAGGCGCGGCGACGATAACGTTTTGGTGCTGCTTGAGTTACGTCACTGGTTCGTGGCGTCGCCTGCATTAGGACTTATTGTGAAGAAGAGTGTAGCTGCCTTAAAGGGACACTGACACCTACCCATAATTTATTTTAGAGCGCAGCTCCTAGGCGCCCGTTTCCGGCTTGAGCGGCGTCGCCGTCGGCATCGGCGTAACAGCGCGCGTTGCATTATGGGAATAATTCTAGTGAGCGTAACCGCGCGTGGCATTATGAGAAAATTTCTCCGCTAAAATTAGCAGGGAAATTTTTGCCAAATTTAGCGGGAAATTTAGCGTAAAGCTTCCGCTAAATGGGAGGGAAGCAGGAGAGGAGGAGGGGAGGGTACGGAGGTGAAGGAGGGGCATACCCTCTGCTTCGTACCCTCTTGTCCTCCTCCTCAAGAGCTGCACGCGAATTCGGCATTACAGAGAACTGTAAACGTCTTTAATTTTTTTATCTTTTTTTAGGCGATTCATTTTGGTGTAAGAAGACTACCTAATAAATATGTTGCTACAGCGTCATGTATATTTTTAATAAAGTAAAAAAAAACACAACTGCTCGAAACCGAAACCCGACTGCGGTGGAAGGAGAAATATGGAGGGGAAAAGTGTTGCAAAATCACGTGGCTGTGCAACTTTTTGTTTTTTTCAATAAACATTTTTGCAGCTTTAAGAAACCGCAAAAAAAAATTAAAAAATCATTTTTTTTATATTGAGTGTGTGCTTTCAATGGCCCACGACTTTTTTTTACTTTTGGTGGTTGTGTCTAAACCATAGAAAACGGCACGTGTCCACAGAGAAGAAAGTGAGCGCGACACAAACCGGCCAGTGCTCGATCGGCGGTTTTTGGGTTCAAAGAAACCGAATTTTGAGCCACAAAATGTGTTCTGAGCAGTTGGCCTTTTATATATCATGTAAAATAAAAACCTTAGTGAGCATAAATAACCTGTTAGTGTCCATTTAAATCCGAAGAAACTTTTTTTTTTGCACTTGTCACATAAGGGGCCTCCTCAGTCAAACAGATTTTGGTTATGCTTGGCGCATTTGCGATTCCAAACTCTAAAATATGCAATACGAACAAATATGGCTACTGTGACGATGTCCAGATTGTTCACTCACGGACAGGGAAGAGGTGAGAGTGAGACCAACGCTACTCGCGTCGTTCGTGGTAGAAACCACAGCCACGACGAGGGTGGTCAACACGATGGCGAAGCCGACGATGCCGACCAGTGCCCGGCTGACCCTGGAGCAGCACATCCAGGCGTTGTAGGCCAGCATGCTGGAGTCCACGAGGCGACAGAAGTAGCCGCAGAAGCGTTCCACCATATCGTAGGACCGGACGCTGCTCAGAGAGTCCACGGTCTCCGTGACGTGTTGTAGCACTCTTGACATGAGCGCGCCTTCTACGAAGCGGGCATTGTTGGTGGCCCGGATGATGAGATGCTGCTCGAAACCAACGCGAAAAGGGGAATAATCAGTTCGCGTACGAGCCGGGAGATACTATGGTCACTAAACTCCGTTTCAACTTACGTCCAACCGAGGCCCACGCTACCATCCATTACATCCAACGTTACTCAAACACTCAGTTGGGAAACTCGCCCTTGAAATCCGGACCGCTCGCGTCCACCGAGACCAAACTAAATACGATAATAGCGCCACCCTTTAGCGACTTGTCAAAACATGAAAGTTCTTTTATATTGCTACTGCGAAATGCCAGTGCGCGATGGCGCCACCGGCCCTTGCGCGACACAACCTGAACCAATACGTGCAGACGTGCAGTTCCTGAAGTGGCCGCTGCAGGAGAAATGGCGGCGTTGCGATCGCCATTAGTTCTCTTCTCGGGTACGGATCGAAGCCACTTTTCATGTGAATGCATTAACTGTCCCATGGAGCAAACCGACGTCATCAGCTTTGAAGCAGGGACTCAAGCCGAAAAATTTAACGTTTGGGTTACGGTTACGGTTACCACTTCCTGGTGATAACGGTTTCGTATCGTTTTTTTTACGGTTTCGGTTACCGGTTGCACTTTTTTCAAATTCATTTATTTCGGTTTTTTAGCAATTTGTTCAATTAAAATGCTAGGGCAGCCGTTTGATAATAAACTGTCTAAAGTAGTCCTAGATCCAAAAAAGGCAACATTCAAGGAAGTTTGAAATGTCTTAATACTTCTAATTTGTCGAAAGTTGCACATGTTTCTAGCTCCACCGCGTGTTCACTACATCTACTTGAATTATATACTATGATGCCCGAGCATACATGTTACTTCCACCACTCAGAAATCATTGCATTCTATGTAATAAAAATGTTGTTCGGCAGTGTTTGTAAACAACCCTAACAAAGTTCCCATTGGCTGCTGGAAGAACCATTCGCACCTTTTCGTCGCCATAGTTTATTCAACCTAATACGTGCAGACGAGTCTTCGCCCACACTGAAGGAAGGAACAAAACTATAGCCATGCATCCTTTAATAAGATACTGCTAAATTAAATAAAGTAATACAATTGAGAGCTGGGCTAGTTGGTGAAAGTCAAACATAATGTAAACGCAATAGCCCGAACAAGAAAGACTAAGGAGTGGGACGAACAGCACAGTAACAACACAGAAAGCTGTAAAAATATGTCATGTGTTGATTGTTCGTTTCCATGGTGTTCGTTCTTGTGCCATGCTACACCTTCGTCATGTTTTCTATTTCTAAGCTATTGCCTATGGTTATCCAAGCGCACGTTTCTCGCAGGCCGATTCCGTGTGCATTTATATATAAAAAAATGGTGCATTTCTATATAAAAAAAATAAAAAAGGTGCGGACGCAAAAAATGTAAACAAAGTGCGAACGTACATTATATATATATATACTTGAAAATATGCAGATGAATGAACAGTACTTCATAGAATTAATTAATGTTAACCGCTGAAAGCCAAAATAAACGGCGGCGCCAGGATTTGAGCTCTGGGCCTCCTTGTGTCCGGTCGGGTGTGATTATATTATTATATTATAGTATAGTATAATATATGGGCGGCGGGATACTTGGCCTTTCACATTTCTCTTTATGACTCTGGGTTTTTTCTCCTTCGTCCCCTGTTAAACAGAGTTTTAGACTAAATTCCTCTTTCACCCAATTGACTTCCCTTTCTTCTGCGTGTTAGGTGGACTTTGCCGCACTGCCCACCGCTCCACCTACCCTCTCTACCCGACAGCGCATGGGCAGATGCCTCCGAAATCTGTTTTGGAGTATTTGTAGGGACTGTGCGCAGGCAATCATAGCTCCTCTGCCGAGGCCAATACGCCTCTGGGAAGGACTCGCCGTGTTCTGGTGCGCGTGCAATGGCGAGAAAGGGACTCTTCCTCACACGGACAACACAGCTTTTGCTTTAGCGCTGCACCGCAGCCATGAACGAGCTTTGTCTTGGGCTAATGCCAGTGGCGTATCTCTTATTTTCTTAATTAAGATATGTCAATAAATTGGGTACCGTCGGTCATGAGCCCCGTTGACCTGCCGTTGCGCGCTTGCCGTTGCGAGTGCGAGCCGGCGGGCCATCGAGTCCTCGTGCTATCGGCGCGAGACATATTTTCCTTCTCGTGCTGAGGGCGGCGGAAGGATCGAGGAGTCGTCAGAAAGGATTCCCGAGGTTTTTCAATATATGACAATAAAGAAATTAAGAAAAATGACACTGGCAATAGCCAAAGGCAAAGCTCGCTCATGGCCACGGCGCAGCGCGAGAGCCGAAGCTCTCTTCTCCGTGTGTAGAAGAGTCCCTTTCTCGGAAATACACGCGCACCCCAACACGGTGAGTTCTTCCCGGAGGTATATTGACCTCGGCAGAGGGGCCGTCATTGGCTGGGCACAGTCCCCAACATCTACGTAGTAGCCAACTCCATGCGCTGTTGGGTAGCAGGGGGAAGGGGGAGCGGTTCGCAATGCTGTAAAGTCGACCAAACGCGCAAAGAAAAGGAAGTCAGTTGGGCGAAAAGGAATTTCATCTCAAACTTTGCCAAACAGGGGATGAAGAAGGAAAAAACCCAGAGCCACAGAGAGAAAAGTAAGATGCCAAGTAGCCCGCCGCCCCCTGGAGCGCCTTGAGGGGAAGCGGACGCTCCAGCGAGCGAAGGGCACAAGGAATGACTCAGAGCCGTTCTGGCGCGTGCGAAATGGTGTAATCGACTGTGTCGAGCCTGAACCCAAGGAAACCCACGCGTCGCGTGGGCTCTGCCCGTGTCTCTTAGGCTTAAGCGAACTCCCGACCGCAGCAAGTGCTCTGCGAAGAGGCGCACCGTAGACGCCAACTTGTCTGGGTCAGGATGGGCGCACAAGAAGTTGTCTATGTGAGACCAAGCCCAGAGCCCAAGCGCGCGCATTTCCCTGGCAACGGTTGTTGCCAAGAGATGCTTGTAAAATGGCACCGGGTGTATCACGTAGGGCATACTGCAAAAACGGTAGTAACTGCGGCCTACTATAAATGTGGTCAGGTTACCAGAGGAAGGATGAATCGTAATATGGAAAAAGGTCTCGGCAATGGTCGAGCTTCACCATATACGCTTTGGGCGGGAGGGGATTTGCTTTGATGGCCTGGGGTAAGCTGAAAAAGGCGGAACTTAGGTGCCTGGAGGTAAGGAGTCAGTGCGGCGCAGTGTAAAACTAACCGGGACCCCATGGCTGACTGGGATACGGAGAAGACAGGGTTGCGGTTGTGGGCGGTTCTTTAACACCCCTTCCTCAAGTGGACACGACACTCGCTCTAGGTTAACTGTTTATTAGCCCAACAATGTTTACGAGGCAAGCCTTACGTCAATGTCCACGCGGTCAGCGGGTGGCGCGCAAACGCCGTCATGGGTTGGCTTCCCGATGATCTCGCGGCAGGCAAACGTCGTTCATGGGAAGCTGTGGTTCCGGGCAAGTGGCCGTGTTGGTTTTGACGGGCACTGTCATCCGGGGGGGGGGGGCGTAGCTCCTGGCACGTCGCTGGCTTGCGGCGGCAATCAAAACACCATGGTGCAGAAGCCAGGCAGTCATCTTCCATCGGGGGCCGCAGTTCCGGGAAGGCCGCAATTCCGCGGTCAAGAAGCTAGGCATCCGTTGTCGTTCGTCCCGCGCAGACGAGAGCAGTAACCGTCGTCTCCCAGTCTCTTTTGTAGCTTGAAATCCTCGGGCAGCGCCGCTGTGGCCACGAGATTGTCCACTTCGGCAACGTCCTTCGGTGTTATCGCCACATAGCGTCAGCAACGCACGATGCGGTGGGAAGGAACACCATGGGTTCCCACAAGGTACGGACCACGTGAGGAGCGTTCGATGGTGCCACCATGTTGGCTACAGTGGCATTGATCGTTGGGACTTGGTCAGGGAGAGGGGAGTGGGCCGTGTAGCAAGAAGCCTTTGTGCAGCGAATGGAAAGTGCGCCGAAGTCGGCTGGTCCATGAAAACTACATTCTCACTAAACACTGCCCAGTCGACTTGAGGTGCCTGCTGGGTCGGGTGGACAAGCGGCGGAGGTCCCGTCGTTTCTGACTTGTAGGCAGCGCTACCAAGGTCCAACTCAGAGTCTTTGACGTCGTTTTGTTTGTTTGTAGTGTATCCCTTAGAAATTAAAGATTAAAACAGCGCAAGGACACGGACAAGAACAAGAAGGTCCGTGCCCTTGCGCTGTTTTAATCTTTAATCATGAAATACCAACTAGCCCAAACTTCTACTTTAGTATTCCTTAGTGTTGGTGTGGTTTTCCGCCTAGCCATCGTACAGATCGCGACACTGTTAGCGCGAACACGACATCGGCGCATATTCGCATTTTATTTCTGCATAGTATCAGCGAGCACGAAATTTTATTGCTTACGTTACAGAGCTAAATGAGCTCCTTCCGTAGCAATAATAACTTGGATGACATTTCTTGGTTTCATAGAGAAAAACTGGAAAAACCGGCGATCGCTTGTTCGCGCTAACAGTGTCGCGCTCTGTACGTGTCGAAGGGGTCGTCATCGGCGTGGGGCTCGACGTGGGGCTCGATGACACTGTCGGTCCTGCTTAGCCACTTCAGGATTCGCTCGGCGGCGGTGACCGTCGAGTCCGGATCCAATGGGTCGTTTTCTTCGGTCCAAGATCAAACACGGGCAAGGTCGGCCGAGACGCTAGCCTTGCAAAATGCATGGGCGAGAACGTCCTCGACCAGGAAAACGCCCAGGAGTGTCGAGGAGACGACTGTGCCGTCGTTGACGGCACTGGTGGGTCTCGAAGACTCAGGGTAGCTGCCGGACTCAGTTAGGACTAGGGGACGCGGACGCCGCACGTCTCGCGCGACCACGAGTGTGCGGCGTCCGCGTCGAGGCTGGTTGGGCACCTGGTCGGGGGGCCTTCTGAAAACCTCGAACTCGAGCCTGAACGTCTGGGATAGGATAGCCGTCCTCCAGTTCCCCCTGGCGACAACGTGGAAGAGTTTCAGTCTATCGAAAATGAGGTGCTTGCGCTTGGGGAGCATGGCATCCATGGCATCCCAGTAGAACCGATGCGGGTGGAGATGCCGGATCTCATGGACATCTTTCGTGGACAAACTTCTGATGTTCTGAGTAAAGTCGCACAGAATGCCGTTGGCCTGACGGACCCTCACGACGGAAATGGGCGGTAACGGCTCCACCGGAGGTTGTCAGATCGCGTTGGTGGCTCCGGTAGAAGTGATTCCCCTAGAACCCATACCACTGGCGGAAGCTGGGCGAGGGCTCCGGCGATGCTCGAAGCGATCTCTTGGCACATCTGTGGATGTTCGAGCTCGCCGTGCCGACGTTCAAATAGCTCTCGTTCAGAATTCTGCGACAGGGACTGCTGAGATTGCTGGCCGTGTGGGGGGAGGCCGGCCAGGGCATCCACGATTGAAAGCGGGGCAGCTCCCAAGGTTGAGGCGAAGGAGGCAGAAATGGCATTCCCTGTCTGTTGGACGAGGGCGGCTCCGTCATCGGCGGCCAAGTGCGGTGGCGCTTTCGACGACGAGGCATCCTTTCCTTGGCTTTTTCTCTTGTTGTGCTGAGATGCATGGCGATGCCGGCGGCTGCCACGCATACAAAACGCCAATGTCATGCCTCTGACATTTTCTTTTCTCTTTTTCTGTTGTTTCAAAATTGTCACTCGCGACAGGTTTCAGACTAAATGAATACCAGGTTTTCTTTTCCGCCAGCTCTGCATGATGGTCAATTTACCTCGTTTCTTCATGCAGGCTACTGCATGTCAGGAACATCGGTGGTTTTGATGGAACCGAGTTGAATGGACATCTGAGAATTCTAACATGCAGCGATGTAGGAGTGTGGCAGATTTACAAGTAGACTTTTTTATTATAAGCATGACCACTGATTTCAACTAAGTATTCTTAATCGTAAAGTTAGATGTAACGGAAATGTATTACCGGGCGCACCACTCGCTGACAATAACTCTGTCAAATGGCCACGACGTTTCAAGATCACTCCTCCAGGTCATACTTGAAAAAAACTAATATTTCTATTTTTCGGTTAATATTGGTTAAAATCGGTGACCGGTAAATAATTCACAGTTACGGTTACGGTTACGGTTTTTATAACTTTCAGATAACGGTTTCGTTCCGGTTCCGGTTACTGAAAAAATTTTGTTTCTAAACGGGTTTTGGTTTCGGTTACGGTAGCAGTTTGAGTCCCTGCTTCGAAGCCGCGCCAGACGTGCCCTTCAACTGTCTCAACGTCGTCTGTAGCAGAAATATGATAGATAGGCCCCCATTGGCTGGCGCGCGTCATCAAAGAACGAGGCTCCCATTGGATCTCGTGCTGCGTAGTTCCAAGAAAGACCACCAGAGAAGCCCTTTCCGTGGCGGCGCAGGGCACGCAGCGACCAGGCCGCCGGTAAGAGGGTGCGGTGGCCGACGGTGACGGCAGAGTCTGTTCGAGCAAACTCCGGAGCGGGTGTATGGCCGAGCGCGGCACGGCCACTTGATGAGAGCGCGCTCTGGGCCGTCGGCCGGCGAAACATGGCCGTCCATGCCACCACGCCGCAGACAAACTAGGGGAGCGGAATAACGGCATTCGTGCTTTCGCATTCACAACTAATAGAACGTGCTTAAGTGTCCTCGGACTTTTTCAAAGCAGGCTCTATGGCAGTTTCCCAATGGAGTTGTTCTAGCAACGTTCGTTAATGCAACTAAACGGTGCGGAAAGTGAATCGTCATGGTGCTCCCAATTTACGTGCCTTTGCGATGGCGGGCTATCCCAATCGCCCACAACGCGGCCAAATTCTAGGTTTTTTTTTTTTGTTGTTGTTGCTTTAGCAGGTCATACCAAACGCACAAAACGGACGAGCGAAATGACAATGCCCATTCTGGAGCTGCTTGAACGATTTTATTGAATCGTTGGCTATGGTCGGACTTGACGTGAAACGGTGTACAAGAACTGAAGGCAAGCGAGGCGTGTCAAGCCTAGCGCATCTCTTAATCGCTCCTCTGCTAATGAGATTTCTGCGTAACTCAATGAACACCAAAAAACAAATCACAAAGCAAGAAGCAGGACCGTAATCAGTAACGCCCTGCGTCTATCCAGCTGTTATTGAGTCCCTAGAATTTCGGCGGCACACACATGCGGTTCCATCTCGTGAGCCAAGATTTGCCTCGTCGTTACTGGCAGTACTGGACTCGCCGAGAGCCGACCCATGGGCAGGCATTACCGGTATAGAGGAAGTCATTGTTTGGCCAATCGCAAATGCTAACTGCTGCGACGCTTTAAGTGGTGCACGTCGGTAAAGAATATTATGATCATTGTGATACATTTTGAACGTCACCTATAGAGCGCGTAGGCATGTGCTCTAGTAGTGGTTACAGTGGTTACAAAAAAGGTGACAACTGTTAATTTTTGCTTCATGTATTGAGAGTCAACTGCTTGGTAGCTCACTTAGGGTGTCCCTCTAGTCTATGAGATGTACCAGGATTGAATTCCAGACTAGGTATATTTTTTCAGCTGCCAACCTAGAGGGCGCGAGGGGAGCTTAGTTTTAGGAGCAAGTCAACATTATTTTTGTGAGATTCTTCTCCATCACGGACACTTTCTCTAGATTGTTTTATATAACTTTGAGGTGTGTTGACATACCATTCCGAAGACAAAGATGACGGCTCCCACACCGCCTATTCCGAGAACTACAGGACTCTGGGTTGCGACGACGGACAGCTTGGAGATGGCCAGGAGGGCGTTCTGGATAGACGTCTTCAGAGTGACGTAGTAGCGGACGTCGATCATATCAAAGTCGATCGAGAACCTGTTCAACACCCTTCCTCGAGGCGTCGAGTCGAAGAAGCTAACGGGGCTGGACAGGACATGACTCAGCATGTCATAGTGCAGGGCCCGGGAAAGTTGCCGGGTGCTCACAGCCAGCAGGGCACCGCCAGAACACCGGAAAAGCACTGCGATGAGGAAAGAGCATCCCGGTTACTGAGCCCTACGCAACACTAATAAAAATAAGCCTGCCGAAAATTATAATTTGGCAGTCGCCTTTAGAGCGTTAATTCAGGTCCTGGCAAAAGAGGAAGGTTCTCAAAATTTGTCCTCACAAACTTCACACAGAACCTCCCGGTAACTCCAAATTGGCACTAGCAGAATTGCTAAGAAGGTATTAAAGGAAACACAGGCTTCAGCTTGCTGACCTTTCAGACGAAATTATTGGAAATATCGAGTTTTTATTTTAAAGATACTAAACAAAGTTATATTTTCATGCAACGTTTTTCACTGGTAGCGTTTAATGCACTGTACTCATACTACTTTTCATTCAAGACTGGACACGAAAGACGCAGCATAATTTCCGGAGAGGGCATGGCTTCTCCTTTTCTTATTAATCTCTTGTAAGCCGCTATTTGCTAAATATTGAAGTAAATTTTTAATCGACGTTAAGAAGAATGTCAATATTTGTGAAATTAACGGATTGTTTTTTTTTTCCTGCCACCACGAGAGAACAGAACACGACAAAACACTAGGCGACAAACCAGCACCTTCGAAACATAATTCGTCAAAACACCACCGCGTCAATACACCACAGTGACATAACAGCACGAGTCAAAACAGCAGGCGAACAAACAGTACGGCGTCAAAACAGCAGAGCGACAAAAGAGCATCGGGCAAAACAGCAGGCGACAAAACCTCGCATCAGCGAAACAGCGCTCACGTAAATGCGTGCATGTGATTTCGCTCTATGACACACTTTTAGCAGCACGCGCCTGAATTAAGTACCTGCTGCTAACGTGCTGAGCATATCATGTCTATGGACGTTGTAATTTATTATCCACCGTTTTATGACTTTGTAGTACTACTTACGCCTATTATATTTTATTGCATATTTATAGCTTTTCGTGCATGTTCCAGTAATATAAAAAACAAACTTCACACCGCTCACACCGTAAGCCACTTTCAATTTCGTTTCTTGATAAAAACGAATGCTCGATTTTCGCAGAATCTAAAGACATCTAGGACCATGTCAGCAACCAGGATGACACCACGTCATCGTTGTTTAAGTACTTCAGCGTACGTCTATTGGCGTACCCTGCGTGAGAAACGGCACCGAGCTAGGAGGCACACTTTAACGGCAGAGGCGATGGAACCTCAAGCAACGACGCTCACGCCGGATTGGCCGGTCGGCTACGCGTGGTAACTGAAATTTTGGATTCGGACGGCGCGTGTGCCACTCAGGAGCGTGTTAAAAGGATACTGAAGCAAAAAATTTTTTTCGCGAAATAAGGCCGCAGAGGCGTTGAACCGGACGCCACGGACTCCAAAACAACACTCATATATCGATATTTCAAACGGATGGCCATACTTTTGGAAAAGAAGGGCGCGATCAGGCGAGGTCTTGGACTTCTTTGCCCTCCGGGAGAATTTGAGAATGAGGGAGAGCGGCTTTGCTTCCTTCTCTGCTCCTCGCTTCGATCCACCAGTTCGAAGGGACGAACGAGGAGGAGAGGGAATGGATATCGTAACGTGACTTGTCTCGTCGGCCTCGTCGGCCGTGTTCAGTCGCGCATTTCTTTTCCAAAAAAGCAGCGATCCGTTAGAGATACCGCTATGTGAGTGAAGTTTTTTGGGGTTTGGCAGCGTCCCGCCTATCTGTCCAGCATTGTTTTGTGAGGTCGAAATTTCGGTTTAGTATCCTTTTAATCCATCCCCATTCATTTGACGCGGCGAAAGTATGCGGTTGCTAATTACAAAATTATTAACCCCCTTTCCCCCCTCCATATAATAAAAACTCCATATAATAAAAAAAGTTTTGTAGATAATACCATGTTTTTGAAGTAGATATATTTATGTTAGAAAGATAAGGTTTACAGAAAACTTACGCTTTATCGAGCAGTTTTTAGCGCAATCTCCTATCTTTTTACAAGTCCCCATTGACATCACGCTGCGTGGTTCTTACGGCCGCCCTCGCTGCTGCAGGGCGGAAAATATTCTAATTTTTTCCTGGCGATTATGCGGTGGAATCGCAACATTTCTAAGGAAGGAGTTGTGTTTTCTGTCCTTTGGGACAAGATTAACAATGTAAAAAGTAAAAGATGCAAATTATTTCAACGTTTAAATTGTTGCACAGCTCCTTGTATGGGTGGTACGTTTCTGTCTTCCCGATTTAGAAGAATATACACTCCTTGTCAATATATGAGAGCGGAACTTACTTACAAGGAGTCGCCACTTGAAATATTTCCCTTCCGCCTAGGACGCAAACTAATTCTCTTCTCACAATCGCACTATTTGACGCATTTCCGGTCATTCCTCTCAAGGAGTATTCTTCCCAAACACCTGAAGAGCCAAAGTGCTTCTACATTGTCACACAAGGGGGTAGATATTTGCTGGGCAGAGGAACCACCAGTTGGGGAAAGGGATGGCGCGAGCTTACTAAACTGTGTACTTTCCCAACAAAGGACTGGCGATATCTGCTCCTAGGCTTATATCCGAATGAACTTCCGAAGGAAGGCTGCGGGGCACATCGGGAGCGGTACCTGCCTTGTTAGATCACCGTTTTTTTTCCGGCTACAAAAAACACCTTTACTTAACAAGGCCAAGGACACACGAAACGCTCTGCGGGCTCCACAAGGTATTTGGGATTAACCCTTTGTTCCGGTCGTTTGTTGTTCACGACGGTCGATGCTTACGGTTTCACCTTGCTTGATGAAAGAGCAAGACGGCTGGGGTCTATGTTTCCTGTCCTCTCAGGCTATCAAATGTGTTGACCTCACTGGTGATGTGCCCCTAGCCTTGCAGCCTATAAGCCATACATCCCTCAGCTGACAGTGCGCTGAAAGCTAAGTGCTCGTTGGAAGGGTCACACGTCTACCTTTGGCCACATAACCATGCCCTCTTTCATACGAACGCAAAGAAAAAGGGACGGGTCGGATCGATAAGGGAAGGTGGTTTATTGGTTCTGGTAAGCTCGAAGCCTCCGCCACACCGTCAACTTAGGAATGAACAAAATATAGTGTCGTCGTGATGACGTGACTCCGTGAATCTCTCTTGCCTGTTACTCGTAATCAGCCGCCTTCCCGCGATCTCTTTACTCGTAAGCGTTTTTCCTTCGCCTGTCCACCCCACCTTTGTGTGTCTTTCGAGTTCTTCCTACGACGTTTTTGAGCTCAGACGGCCGTCGTTTATTTTCTCTGATGACTCTTTTACGAGAGTTCACGATGCAAAATTATTTTTAACTTTTTTTAAAAAAGCTTGAGAACTTATATTCCAACTTGGGACAAAAGTAATTCCAAAAGTAATGAGCAATTTTCTCGAAATTACTGCCTGAAAAGAATTCGTCGCATTTCTGGATTGCCAGCCTAGAAGTGCAATAAACTACAATATGTATTATCACACAAAATAATTTAATTACTGTAATCTCAGTAGAGTAAAACTATTCCTGCCATCTCTGCTGCATGTAACTTACATTTAACCAAACGTGTGTGTCAACGTAACTATATCTTTAGCACTTTTAATAAACTTGTAATTTTGTGATCTTAATTTTTTTTTTTTGGTAAATAGGGAGTTGTATTTGTATCAACATAAAACGGAAACAGATTAGCCATTTATCAATCATTAAAAAGACGACAACAAATTTAGATTTAGTAGCTTACTGTAGAAAGATTTTTTGTTAGTGTACATGCACGAAAAGCTATAAGTATAGCTGATAGAATATAAGGGCGCTGGCAGTCATATAAATTTTGATAAGCGTGGATAATAAAATGCAACGGCAATACACATATTCCGGTGACCGCTTTAGGAGTAAGTTCTTAATTTAGGCGGATGTGGGTAATAATGTGTCCTACAGTGAAAAACCAGCGCGCATTACATGTGACGTGTTTTCTTGTTGTGATGTACCGTTTTGACGTCGTGCTGTTTTTTGTCGCGTGCTGTTTTGTCGCTGTGCTGTCTTGAAGCGTGCTGTTTTGAGCGTGACTTGTAGTCGCGGGTTCTTGTTTCGTGTGCTGTTCTGTCACCTTAAATAAGTATTTTTAGAACATAAAGTCCTCAGTAAAAGCTCGAGCTCCACCTTTAGCATTCTACCCCCGTTATTATCAATTCCAGGACAGTATTGTTCAGTGGTTATATGAGACACTAATAAATATTTCGAAGACACATTCCAGGCGCAGTAAAAACGGGAATCGGTACATACCGTCGGCAAAGCAGAGCCCTATCAGGCCCTTGAGCCAGCTGAGATTGTAGGAGCCATCGTCGGTGTCCCTGGAGTTTGCGTCCGTCCACTGTTTGATCCAGAGCAGTTGCCAGGCAAGGGCAATTGCACTGGCGATGAATAAGATCAGTGCCACCGGCAGACAGATACCAGAAAATCTGAGGAGGGCCCGCGAGACCTCCCAGGATCCCTAAATTATGAAAGCCGTGGGAATTTCAAGGACAGTTAGAAAAAGGGCTTGTCACAAGATGAATGCATCATCGTTCCTCTTTGCCTGGTGCAATTTTCTGTAGCAGTAACTTTTTGTAATGGCACCTTTCAACGAAAATGTGCGTAATCAACAATAACTTTGAAGCGCCGACAAGAGGTAAGAGTGCGAGCTTCGAGAGGCTCTTACGCATGCTCAGGTGCAAAAGGAACAAACAGAAAAACTTGTGTTTTAACATGGCATGGTGTTTCCACCATAACACAGGCTCGTGTTGCAGCTAAACTGCAGGACGCCGTGACACTGACAGAAGTTAGCAGTCGTAACGCATTGGCCAATTTGCGCATCTACAGCTAATACACCAGATACCGTCTCAGGGCATAAGAACTTTCGGCCGTCTAAGACGCCATACAATAAACTTCACTTTCCGCTACCCATAAAATAGACGCGCACATAATAAGGAATCCTACTGAAGACACCTAAATGAACAAATTAATTTTATTCGAACTTATTCTTTGTTATCCTCTTTGTTACTCAAATTCTATCTATTGTATTGCTTTGGCACCTCATTTTATTTTCGGCCTTTGCGCCACCATGCTTTTTGTTCGGATTCCTTATGCAAAAGCGTCACTCTACAAACGACGCACAATACCATTTTCCGGATGTATCGATGACATCATTCATAATCTAAGCTTTAATACGTGTCTGCTACACAAGATTGTCCTGAATCTGTAATTACTAAGATCATTCTCTTGTTCACAAAAGTAACAAAGTTATATATTTTAAAATATTCAAAAACTAATTCTGCACACAATAGGTTACAGGCAAAAGTCCTGCCGACTTTCGCCATGATGCCACTTCGAGCAGCCATATTCAAGGTTTTGATATCGTTTATATTAGGACAAGGCAGATCTCCATTCAACTCGGTGTTTATAATATTAGGACAATGCATTTGTATGTTCAGTTGCTTACTATTTAGTTTTGGTGCAACGAAGAAAATAAGGACTGCCGCGATATAATGGAAAAGAAATTGTCAGCAACGAGGGTGCAACACTCCTCGCTGAAGCATTGAACACCGCCAACTAGGTATATGAACGAGCGTGATCAAAGGCGCTGAGTGAAGGCTTCGGACTGCGGGCAGTACGTGATCCTATCTTAGACCTCCGACTCAGATTTTTCCGGAACTGATGTTTCTCGTTCCACACTCTCGGTGTTGAAGACAACCAATACGGCGTAAACTTGATAATTGATCATGAGTTCGCTATTTGGCACGTCTTCTTTGTCTATTACGTCTTTAAGTTATACGCCCAACTTGCTTCAGTGCAAGGTACCTATTTTTACCTTAGAGGACGTTTGGGATTCCAGTTTGATAAGTCGTCCATTTGAACCTTCTTGCTCTAACAGTGACGTCTGAGTTCTGGAAACAAAAACGAAATTAAGCAATTCAACCAAGATTTCTTCTCTTTACTATTTTGAAATCAGGCAATTATGACAGGTTCAGCAAATATTTAGGTAGATTCTTGTTTTACTTTTCAACATGCGTGCGTTGTAGTTTAAAAAACATCGCTAAATTTCGTCACCCTCAATCTTATGCATTTGGGAGCTTTTACATCTTACGAATTTTAAAATAATTGAACGTCTCTAGAATGGTGTAACACAGACCGCGTAGTCTCCACATAAGTGTTTCGATAGCGCTAGACTGATTTCGCAGCTGCGCACATAGCATATCGTAATGACGCAAGCCGGAGTGACCACATTATTGAGGCAAGTGTTATCACTCCTACATATTTGAAGACCTCCTTAGTTTTCAGTTCTTTCAATACTGAAGAGCCCCTTCTCCTCTCCCAACCCGGATAAGACTGCTAGGACAGAGCCAGGCTTAATTTTCTCTTCTTCACCAGTAATTTATCACTCTATTTTGGTGACCCGAGAATGGTTTGTCAGTAAAAATATTTGAAAAAAAAAAATTATTAATTACGCATGCGTCCCGATTACAGAACCATCCTTACTCGCTGTCGGCAGGTCCAGGCTGCCCCCGACCAGCCATTCCGCGGCTCAGGGTCTTAGGAGCTCGTTCATCTTGAAGCAGGTCTTCGAGGTTTTGGTAGACGGTAAGGGTATTTCTATCCATCAAAATGAGGTTGTTCATGTGCTTCAAAATGTTGCCCTGGTTGCTCACAAGGATCCGGGTCTTCAGAATAGAAGCATTAGAAAAAGGAAATAAGAAAAAATGAATACAGAGCAACAAATAAAATTAAACGAATAAAAAATGGAACCACCATCAACATATTTTAGATGTGTAGTATAAGCATCCGAACAAGTTAACTTAAACGCTATTATAACAAAAGGCTAGCACAGAATGACTGCCAAATAAGCCAAAAATCAGACGAACAGAGCAAAGGAATGAACGAACCTAAAAAAAATATAAAATTATTATTAAGGACAACAACCAACTAGGAGCAAGCCTCCTAGCCTACAAATGAAAAACAAACAGATATTCGTTTAAAACCGAAAAGGGTTTTGGAGGGTACAGTGAGGCAGATGAACTAGAGCGCCATTGCAAATAAGCTCCCCAATACATTGGTACTGCACCCATACATCGGTGCGCGTGTGGGGAGAATGAATGAACAACATGAATACATCCATTTTATTCGAAGCTCTCAACAAACCACAATTAAAATCAGGATTAACTTGCCTCGTCTCTTTGCCTTCCGTGCTCAGTTTTCTTTATCGTAAAATAAACACCCTGAATGTTTCAAAGACACGGCCGACGTTTGGTAGTGAATCGGATTCTGCGGGATGGTGAAGCTTTCTTTATTTCCCGTATTGTTTTAGAGTTTTCAGGTTGGAAAATAAAAAAAAATATCGGTTGCTTAGAGTTGAAAGAGTTTAGTGTGTTTAGTTGGAGTCTGATTTATGTTAGAAAACTGAATATTCGAAACAATAATGTTTCCACAAAATACATTATAACATTTTTTCTACATCTCTAAGCTATACATATTTTTAGAAATTTGAAGGAGCTAGAGGGGAGCCATCTGCGTGTTTATTTTCTTATCAAGACCATACCTTCTTCTTGAGGAGTCCGTCATGTCCCAGCACCTGTTTGAAAACCTTAGCTGCAACGTTGGAGTCCAGGGCGCTGAACGGGTCGTCCAAAAGGTAGATGTCGGAGTGACTGTAGACTGCTCGGGCGAGGGAGATTCGTTGTTTCTGACCACCACTCAACGTTTCGCCCTACGACATACAGAAAAATTTATCAGCGGCAAAATAAGTGCTGAGATATTCAAAAGAAAACGTTCCTGCTATCTACTACCACGCAATTTTCTAAATATCAATTTTAAACAGACTGCGCTTTATATTTGCGAGTGTCTTTATATCACAATATACAGCGTGGCTGATTTCCTACAAACAGATTTATTTTATAAAAAACACATAAAATGTACACTAAAGCGGTCTAAGCAGGTGAGTTACGCGGCCAGGAGTACAATGCTAATCACATTTGTCTATAACGCGCGAGCGTGCGCCTTTCTCCGGGGAGCGTTAGACTGGTGGCATACGCGGAAACTAAGCTACTCACGTGGCGCAACAGGGAGTGGTCTGCTCTGGGGCGCATTCATGTGCGCTTCGCATTCAGTGATGCCAACTGCCTGTTTTCCTTTCCCACACCCTCTTCCACCGCCATTTTGTTCCTCTCATTGTTTCCAAGTGAGCCGGAAAGTGGCCTTTGTGTCCATCGGTCCTCCCTCCGGAGGGAGGGGGGGGGGGAATGCTAATCTTCCCTTCGTGGGTTCCACAACGCTGCTCCGAACTTGTGAGATAAGGTGCTTGTTTCCGGGAGGGTTATAAGCCCCACGGATTGTCGCCGAGAACCAAAATGGCTGCTGGTTTGTCGGCGAGTGGTATTACAAAGGGTGGCATCACCCTAGCAAAGCGCACATGAAGGCTCCCTAGTCTGCTCGAGAGGTGGCCTGCCCACTATATTAGCTGGAGGCGGACGGGGAAGGCTGCTTGCTCACACGCTTTTTACGAACATCATTGCTCGAACAGTAAACAAACTAAAGCATGAAGACGTATCAACGATGCCGTCATTAAAAAACGCAAATATATCATCAAGCACATTACTTCTATCGCTTATCAAGCTGATAGAGTGGGCAGGACACCCCTCAAGCGGGCCGTTCCATGCTGCGCCACGTCACTAACTTAGTTCCCCCGAATGCCACCAGTCTAGCGCTCCCCGGAGATATCCGCACGCTCGCGCGTTATAGACAAGTGTGATTAGTACTGTACATTATGTATGTGGCTAAATGTCACAATATGCCAAATAATCAACTAAATTTAGCTTAAATAACTTTTTTTAATTAGAGAAAGTTCATACGTGATTCCAATATATCAGTTTTCCAAATTCAGTCTGGAAACTTTGACCACTATCATCATCTCAATGTATGGCTTCTGTGCCTAATGAATGGCGACCTTTCTGAGGATAAAAGAAGAAGGCCTTTACTTTTAAGACGTCAGTTCAGCACGACGCACGAATTAGATACGACGACTGCGTAACTGCCTTTTAAGGCGCAGCTCTTAGGCGCCCGTTTCAGGCTTGAGCGGCGTCGCCGTCGGCGTCGGCGTCGGCGTAACCGTGAGATCACGTGACCCCCCCCCCCCCCCTGAGGTCACGTGACTCTCCTAAATTACTAAGTCAGTAAATTTCCGATAGACTTTCACCCAGTAGGAAGCACTTGAGTGCGCATAACGTACGGCTCGTGCAACATGAGCATGGCTGGCGTTGAAAAACGTTGGTATTACGATTATCATCTCGTTTTCGCACCCCTAGACTCACGTCTGTTGCATGTGTGGTAACGTTAGTGCACTACCGCCCTTCCCATGCGCTCAGACATAATACGTACTGATTTAGTTATTTTCGATGAAGTCCAGGAAGTTTTTAATGGGAATAATATATGTATCTATATACTAATATTTTCTCAGCGATTTTAGTTCATGAAATGACTTATGGTGTCGACAAGGCCCATTTATAATGTATCCTTGACTGTGTAAATCACGTGAACAAACCTAATTTGTGGGATTTCAAAGTTTTCTTAATAGATATGTTAAAATTAAAATCAAACACGCTATATGATAAGTGTTAAGCTCATTATACTCTTTCTCAATTTAATAACACATAATACATCTTTAGCCAATATCAGATTTCACGCTTGAATCACAGTGCCGATTCTCTTTTTCAAGGACCCTAGATATGGTATTACAGAAAACAATAAATAATGGCGTGGCTTATCGAAATATTGATAATATTTCTAGATGCCAACGAGCAGTATATGAATTATATTAGCTTACTTGTAGTTTTTATGGTGAAAATTATGATAAATATTACACGTTTGCGCGTGATGTGTGAACTGTTTGGAATGTGATACGAGAAATCACTATTTTGTTGAGCATACGGTTACAGAGCTAAATCAAATTTCTAATACACAAAAGCTGTGGGTGTGAAATGTAGACTCCCTGCACCACCGAGTGGAACCATATTCATCACTAATAGGACCGTAAATTAGAACGTTGCTGTTTCTCTATCTCCGCCACACCGCCGAGGGCAGAATGAGAAGGGGAAACTCAAGAAACTGGCGTCATCGGCGGTGTAAGGGAACCTGTGGCCACCTTTTGGTTGGCTTGGAGACGCCGACAATAATCACGGGACCCCTCACTGGTAACACGTAGCAGATAGGTTCGCCGCTTGCCCTGTGGTAATGGCTCCACGTTCATCTTATTTTTCTTTTTTTTTAAGAAACGTCGTAAAGCGGTTTAGGCGAAATGTTGTTGAATTTAACTGGGATAACTTAATCCAGAAGACAATATTTGTTTGTATGTAGAGCAATGTTCCCCAAACTACGCCCAGCATGTGACTCGTCAAAAATAAATATAAAATACAGCATTGAACCCCCCCCCCCCCCCCCCCCTTCCCGGCCCTGCTCTTCGCGATGCCTTGAGTTTTCAATCTCAGTGCAAGAACAGTAAGTAATACATCCAACTGCCAATGAAACTTTATTTAGGAAAAAATAAAAAAGTACAAGCCACAAAATATTACTTTTTCTAATGACTTAAATGAGCTTGTTTCTTAAAGCACAATTTCTCAAAACGAGGTTGAAGTTTAGACAACGCAACTTTTGTTTACGGCTTGTTGTTATGAACCGATCTGTGCTTTGTGTTCATCGACGGTAGCATAGAAAAGAGACGTTAAAATCTGTTGAAAAGCTCGAGCCGCTTCACGACGCCGAGTTGAAGCTCTCATGAACCTCCTTGGGGTCGCGGCTGATGGTTTGGAAAATACTGCTGTACAGGGTAGAACACTTTCGCTTCTATTTCGTCAGCTTAATTTTAATGTACGCTGACCAGAGGTTAGCACATATAGGAAATTACAAAGTGTATTACCCATTCAAGTTATCTGAGGAGCTTCAAAAATGCAAGACCAGATACTGCAAGTCTAGTATTCACTCTCGAAAATTATAACTCACTTTTTCTCCAACTTCGGTCAGGTCCCCCGCGGGGAATGTGCTGATGTCGTTGAGGAGCTCGCAGGCTCGGAGCACGCGTTGATAGCGGGATGGATCAAACTCTTGACCAAACACAATGTTGTCGCGGACGGCCATGTTGTAAATGCAAGCCACTTGGGGTACATATCCAATCTTTCCCTGCAACACATCAGGCATATTACGCTTAAAGTATCACGGAAAACAAAGTCGGGAGTTCATTGCTTTGCGTCCACATCACGCAGGAGGGGGTAAAACCTTTAAAAGACCTGTTTTAAACTGAAATAAACATTAACCAAACATCACCTTGTAGGGGTGTCTGTGAGGCTTCAATAAAATGTCGTGACGGCATCGGCCGCGGATGGAAGGGCCACTATATGGGAAGTACGCTCACTAGTATAGATTACTATTACCTGTGCCAGAACAAAAAAAAAATCCTAAGGTTTGGTAAAGAAAACCAAAGCACAGTTTGCCACCTTGAAATCAAATGCGCCGGCCAATCGCTTCCACTGCATCTTTGACGTCACTGACGTTATGACTTTATGAACTATCTTTTTCAACATGGCGCGCGCTACTTTCCACGTCGTTTTCATAGAGGGACGCCGACCTCGAGAAGTGACCCAGGCTGACGTTGCAGAGATGTTCCGGTGCCGGATTCGTGCGCGGTAGTTTCTGTATTACGATGTGAGAATTCAGCGATCGTCTCGCCGTCCAACTTAGTCGCCGTCGACGTGCTGATTGTCCCAGCTTTGACAATCGCGTAAGCCTCGCTTTACGAGTCTGATGAAAACGGTACTGATGTCTTCTCTGTGTTCGTTTAGTGTTCGCAATTGAGACAAGTCGCGCTGAAAACTTCTGGCGATATGAACGGTTTTTTGTTTTAGTTTTTGTCTGACGATGTAAAAGTTCCATAGTCGCGTTTTATGTGCTCTGTGTGTTCACTAGGGCAATCGCGTCTCGTGGAGACCAGCGCAAGTTTCCTCTACGCCGATGCATTACCTTCGTTCCTTTAGTGTCTGTCTTTGCGACAATAAATGTCGCAAAATGATCGGGGTGTACGTGTTTCTTTGCAATGGCGTGACAATGCTGCGGTCACACCACTATCGATGCGATGCTCCGTGTGAAATACTCGAGTGATGCCTCCGCCGTGCTGCTTCACCAAACTCGGTCTGCTGCCGTGCTCGCTTTATTAAATAAATGAAGGATGTCCACTGGTACGGCCCCTTCAAAGCAATATTTAATTACGTGAAGCTGGTGCCTTCCCCGAGTTTAACCGTTGGGATTAGTTGCTGTTGAATCAGGAAGGCAGCAAATGCCTCGTCCCACTGAATGTCACACATGATCCTGCCGTCGCCTTCAACAACACGAGGTTGGAAATCTTCCAGCATCTCGCATCGTGCATGATAACAGAGGTATTCTAGCCGCGCCGCGACGATGTCGTTACGTACAAAGTGCAGCGAGCTCGCGCCCGAAACCGACGGGGCCGATGTCGCCACATCGGCCAAGTTGCGGAGCACACGACGCACTACGTGTTTTCAAAACGCCCGCTACTCCGCCGGCCCCACCTTCTCCCGGTGACATGTTGCGGCCCTCGGGCACACTGACTAATTCAGGTAGTAACGCGTCAACATCACCAAGTGTCAACGCCCATAAATACGTTACGCTCGGCCGTAAGGAGGCAGATGACGTCGCGTGATCCCATGATGCACCATGCTTTTTGATGAGTGATTTTGGAGCGATCGAATTAATCGAACATCTAGAATAAATGATACAGCCATCCGTTTGAAATAAAAGCGTGCGCTTGTCATTATCATAGAGAGTTCTTCATGTTTAACTTATTTTGGAACATGAGAACAGTTTTTTAGGTTTTGATTCAGTATCCCTTTAAGGATCGTGTTACTGAGGCTCTGGCGTGTCAGATGTTTGTAATGGGTCCTAAATGATGCTTAACCTAGACTTCCAGTGTTACGGAAGCGCGTTACGGAAATGTACTCTTTGGAGGGCGAAGCATCGCCAACCAAACTTAGTAAACGATGGTTACATGACGTCATCAGTGCGATGGTGGTCATGTGACATCATCACTGTGGTGTGGTTACGCGACACCAGAATCGTAAACATGTCACGGAGTCAACCTCTTCAGTCACGTGGCACTACCGTGTTTCACAGGGATGTCACGCGATCTAAGTTTATGCTACATGGTCACGTCATTTGTAGGGGCACCAACCACGTGACCACGAGACCCATCGTGGCACCAACTACATGCCTTCAGGGGATTTGTGCCATAATACGACGCACCCTAAAGCTTCATCAGTTTCATTACATTTGTACATGCAGTTGGCACTAAAAATATTTTTAGAAGTGATCGCTATTCGGACAGGGTAAATAGCGGCTCTGTGATGCTGCAAGGACACCGAGGCCGAGAGTCTTAAAACCATTGTCGCTCCGTTCCCGCCTTTCCAGCTATATTAGTGCCGCTCAAGAGCAAGCTGTCGCCCTTTCGCCGGCCCAGCAATCAGTCGCTTGTCATAAGCGTGTGCTGATTAGTGCACAACGAATTTTGACTTATAACTCCTTTTTGGGAAACATTGCGGAGCAGTGATTTTCATAGAAAATTCAGTATATACCAACGCACTTTTGTTTTCGAATAAAACGCTCAAATAGAAAAAAAGTGGTGCTCCTGTGTTGTTATCTTTTTTTTTTTTTTTTTGAGCTCCACAAACTAAATATGTTTTCAGATTAGCACAGATTTGATCATCACGGAACGCTATTTGAAGCAATGTTTATTTTCTTCATGAGCGATGTAGGTACTGAGAAAAAAGATGCTACTGTGCAGCTTGCCGGGCCTTCGTTCCCCCACAACACGACACAAACAATAAAACAATATTAATAAAGACTCAATAATTATACATACTATCTGCGCTTTTATACAATTTCAAGTATGACAGTTTTGCTAACTGAGGTTACATCTATTTCTATGGATGCAAGGGGTTTGAGTGGTTCAGGCAGCCTATATTTAACTTTTTGGCGCTCAAGGTTAGTGCTGTAGGCCATGAAGGTTTTTGACGAGTTATAAATGATTATAGTTAAAAAGTGATTTATAAATAAGGCGGTTTACACTTGTCGGTAAAATGTTTGCTTTAAATATTTATTGGTTACGCTGCTCTTCTAAGAAGTGTACCCTGAACGTGTGCGATAGGCCCACGCCAAAAATATAACAAGAAACAAAATAGCAAACTTTGTACACAATCCACAAAGTGATAATCTCACGTTAATACTTTATCAGAACGGACGAGTTAAGTTGACTTCTTGAATGTAAGTGAAATGTTACATCCTTGATTTGCTAGCGTTTATATGAAGATGCTTCTTTCTGTCAAACCAAATTTTTTTTTAATTTTAGCAGGACGCGATATCTGTATTGTTAATAATACATATTCACTGTTTATCCTTTATTAATTCAAAAAAGCTCTTAGGAAAATGGCAAATGAGAATATGTCAAAACAAACATTCAACCACTTTTGCGCTCTCCAGTAAGCAGGCAATCTAAAAATACACACTATATTGCGCGTTTTCTTGTTGCGTGCATTTTTAATTATTCATATCACATTATGATACTTTTTGTAACACGTCGAAAACAAGCTGGAGTGCCTCTCGGGCCCCTAAAACCAAATTAAAAAAAAAAAAAAAGTTACAAAAATTTGCCAAAAGGAAAACGTATTATTACTTATAATTTTGTTTACTAATTCAAAGGTGTCTATTAGTGTGCTGAACCAATTTCGAGGCAAGTAAGTGATTTGTTAAAATTCATAAATGATTCCAGCCACGTCATTGCAAGATGGCCTGTGACATGTCGTAGCCCTTGACGACAATGACACGTCACTTGAAGAATCCCGTGATGTCGTGGTATTGCAGTCGCACGCAGGAAAGAAGAGTAATCCGCCTGGCCGCACAAAACATTTTCTTTTGACAAAAAACTCACCTCGTATATTTCCTCACGAGTCCCGGCGACGCCCTGTACCATCTACTCGCATTCAAAAAGCTACGGCATGACCTCACGGCACTGGGAGATCAAGCGTGGTGACAGTCTAGAATACAAAGGTTCGCGAAACGCACTTGATTGGCCCTGAAGATTCACCAAAAACCAGTTCGTGGTGTGCCCTTTATTACCTCTCCATTTAGAGAAAAACGATTTTGGCATCTGGCCTGTTCTTTAATACTCCTTATGTCCCGGAACGTGGAATAGTGAGATATTCGTTACACAACAAACGAAAGGAAAATAAACCTTTAACAAGACAGACTTTGTTAGAAGCGAGAAAGAAAAGCTATGTTGTTACTCGGTTTTTGTCTCTGAAATATAAACTATCATATTTCCACTAAGTCGCGCTCGAACTGCTAATACATACACAAAAGGAAGTCTTCGGACACTGCCTTTGGCGTGTTTCTCCTTGTATGACTGTCTAGTCGCATGTCTCATGCAAAAGCTGTCTGCAGTCACGTTAGAAAAATAGGTCTGAAGAAAACATGCCCTGAACAAGCTTCAGGCGAGTTCGCGCATGCTTCTCTCATCCTATATTTAGCGTACACCGTGTTCTTTATATGATGTATGACCAGTGTGACTTTGGCCTAAAGAAACTAAATGACGTGGTATGTTCGTACCGAGATTCTGACGCTTCCCTCGAGACGATGCATGTCTCCCAAGATGGCAGCCAGCAAGGATGACTTGCCGCTTCCGACAAAACCGGTTACGCCAACGAGGGCGCCAGATTCGACGTGCATAGAAATTCCGCGGAGGAGGGCCTTGGCATGGTGCCCCTGGCCTTCTGCCCATGCAAACGAACACTCTTCCAAAAGCACCTCGCCTGGGGGAAGCAAATGGGTAGTGACGGAAAAGGGAGGGAAGGTTAGGAACGTAAAAATCCCTCTTGTTATAACAGAAATAAAGTAGGGAATAAAACGAGCGTAGATTAAGTTGCACATATAATGCCATTGTTTCTAGAAACTGCATTAAGAAAGGGCGGAAGGGGGGCGGGGTCGCGACAGAATGACCGGAGGTTCCTGAAACGGCTAAGGAACTTGAAACAAAAAAGAGCGAACTTGGCTTCTTCGCGGTAACTACATTGAAAACAAAGTACAAGTCAGAGCTATACATCGATCAGGAACAGAGAGTATAGGTATGTGCAAGCGCCGTTCCCGTCTTGAGAAACTGTACTCTAACAAAACAAGCTCACTATTTTTATTAGGAGCAGCCAGCGCGGCTGAAATTCACCTTTTGCATCTGTTTTTGAGTGAGCTGATTCTCCCTGACTATCTGAATTTTAAATGAATATTTTAATATCTATGTCATGTAATATCGTTGCTCGTGCGAAAAATAGAAGTTTATGCCATCGCGAAAGGCCGATTAACTGGAGGGGGGAAGGGGAGGGGTAGCGCGCATGACAATTTATATTTCGATGGGTTGCAAGATACCAGCGTTAGGGAAGCATTGCACCCCCCCCCCCCAATGCGATACAAAAATATACCAATATAAATAGGTTTTGGTGTTTTCAAGGGAAGTATCAAAACCGAAAAGAATATTCTGAAATAATATTAAAACATTATTTACAACAATTAATATCAACACCCTTGCTTGGGATGGTACAGCAAGCACTAGGTCGTCGGAGGGGGGCACGTAAATGACTTCTAGTTTACCCTATGAGCATCTCCATTCCGATTTGTCGAAGGGGGGCTCAACGTTAAACAAATAAAGTTCTTTGTTTAACGTTGAGGTCATGCGGACGCACATGATTGTAGTTCTCCCAGAGTCGGCCTGTGGTTTTCCACCCCCTTTTGAGAACAATTTTGGCCTAGGCTCGCACGAACTCAGTAGCCAGGGAAAAAAAAATGTGTACACTTTTTCCCAAGGGTGTCTTTGTACGCATGACTCAGTTGAGGTCATCCGTTGTGAGCATTTTTATGCTTTGAAGGAAGTGCGTGCGTGTAGAACGTGTCTCTCTATGACCACCCCACCGGAAAAGGGGGGGGGGGGGGGGGGGGGGCGAGGGTTGTTAGCTCGGAGACCCTGGCCGCAGATGTTTCCCTTGAAGACGTGTTAGTTACTGCCAGGTTGTTCTAGTTCCTCGGCATTGCTGGCTGTTTTTAGAAGCAGTTTCTCTAACAATGTATTTGGTCTGATATAGACTACAGAGGTGACAGTTGTTTCGTTTTTTTTCGAGAAGCAGGGAGCTACACCTTGGAGGGGCGGGGTCTGCTGGCCGTGACGATCGTTCATGCACCGTGTGTTTCTTAATCTTTGATCTTCGAGGGCTGAGGCCCTCGTTTCGCCAATAGCTGCGTGTCTGCCCGCGGCCGTTTCATTTTTCTTTTTGGGAGTGTGTGCCCGTGCGTGAGTTCAGTGTTGCGTCAGCCCCCCAGGCAACCAGTCGACGACTTGGGACTGGGCTGGTTCGGCATAACCTTTCAATCTTTAAGACCTTGGCCAGCTCCGGACTCCGAGAAGACGGCAGCGGACAGAGGAGTATTGTTTTGGGGGGCTTTTCATTTGTGCCGGCCAACGCTTGTTCTTGGCCGCGTTTGTGTTGAGCGGTTGCGAGCGATATAGAGTAGCACTTGTTGTGATAGGCGGAATTTTACTGAGTTTTAGTGAGTCGTGGGTTAGATAGACTGATTTTAGTTTTAATGTTATTCTTTGCTGCCGCGCTGCCTGAAAGTTCTCTTGAGTTTCTTTTTTTTTTTAAGTCGATTGCTTTATAGCGTTCTGTCTATCCAGTGTGTCTGTATCGTTGCATGAGACTTTTCATTACCTTGTAATTGTTAAGGTGTTTTGTACCTCCACGTGTCATCGTCTTTGTTTTACTTAAAAGAGGGCATGGACCTGTCGTCTGCCACCAGTCTGAACATAAGCCTTTCTATACTTCTAAGAATTTTAAGTGTTTCACACAAAGTAAGAATTTCAATTGGAATACTTTCGCACACTCCATGATGGGGGCAGGGGGGGGGGGGGGGGGTTGCATGCGGGCGCTCGAGAACTTCTATATCTCAAGATTTCCCAACAGATCTTTGAAAAATATTAGTTAAATTCCCTTCCCTTATGCGAAAAAAAAACCTTCCGCATATCAAAGAGGCTCAACTAAGTTTTCATGGAATCTCATATGTGACCTCCACCCAACCTTTTGTAAGTATCTAGTAAAACATTCCAAGCATTATTTACAGTTTAATAGTGTTTTCAATGTACGCACAATTTCTTTAACAGTGAAGATAAGGTTGTTCGGCAGACGATCAGGTTGTTAAGTGACATACTAAAGCCCTAAACGTACCTTTCCTTAGAGTGTGATCCCTGCTATAGGTGGGTGCAATCTCCTGTTCCTTGACAGTGCAGAACTCTATTACCCTTTGCAGGCTGAGAGACATCTGAAATAAATGAGGTCAATAAAACGCATTTAGTGCAGCTAAGCTCTTGTTATAATGTCTAAAATATTATCCTTTGTATGTAGATTCCAAAACCGTATAAGATGTATAGTAAAAAAACTGTTTAGAACCGACCTTTTTAAATAGTTTTTGTTCCATTGGAAAAGCAGACTTTCTCAGAAGCCCTAAGGTAGACTATATTGATACCGAGGCGACTAATCACTTGAAAATAGTTTATTTCCGACATGATGGATTTTGAGATTCAGATATAAGAAAGACTTCGGAAGTGTACATTTTGAAGAATTTGGGTGAGGAATTCATTCAAAGCCTAATTTGTAAAATTTTTTTCATTGCGACGACCGTTTTGTGAGGCGGCGCGCTGCTTTGAGTGAGTATACTGTTTGCAAACGATGCAATTATACAGCATAACAGGCTGATGTTTTTATTTGGTACTTCAAGTGGACAATTTGAATGATTCATATGCATTGGCCATAACTTTCTCTGCCGACTTCACAGATGTTCCCTCCTTCGCTCACTTTGACCTGCTACAGTGCACTGTTTTGTTTGAAAATTCAACGCAGGTGTGTAGTGGTGAACCAAACATTCGTCTACATTTAGGAATTTCTGCGGAAAGTCCCGTGGAACGTTATTTAACTCCGTGAAACACCGCATCGAAACGGGTAATTTTTCGCGTTCAATATTACGAACATCTTGATTTATCCTGCGTTACAGTCTCAGAAACTATGCTCATCTTATTCTACGGTCTTCCATAACAGCAAGATTAATTGTTTTGACAAGGTATTCTTCGTGGTACCTCAGCTGGGTGTCTGGAGCGCGCTTCATCTCCAGTGCATGTTTGGCAAGGATTAAAGCGCTTTATCGAAAATTAAGGAGGATCTGCGCCACCGTTCGCATATTTTATCATAATATTTTGCTCACCGCACCAACTGAAAAATGGTTCACTTCACACGTAAAGAACATGTTACTTCAAGCCGAAATTAATTTTAAACTAGTTCGAAGAGCCAAGGATTTCAGAAATGACCTAACCAAATAAATGGTTTCTCTATTTAACGGAAATTAAGCGAACTTGTAAAACTTTCCTCGTATTTGTTTTCTTTTTTTTTTTTAGAATTGACTGTTAGCATTTTTCCCCTCTGATAGTGGAGGGCATAATTAGACAAACCAAATCTGAATTAGCCCTTACTACCTTTGTCTGTCTAAAAGAAGACATGATTGAATATGCGGAATGAGCAGACAAAATAAAAGAAGAAGACCATTGAAACAATTTATGCGTCGGCGCCGTTCTTTCAACCTGGGTCGTTTTTCTTTGCGTACTGAGATAGCATTTTTAGCTACTTTACCCGCTTTTCGCGATACGGGATGTGGCCTCGAATGCGCCATGCGTATTCAGAGCCGTAGTATGTTCTCATTCATAATCGCACCCTCTTCGGAGGACCTGGTGGCCTTCGGGTCGTCCTAGAGGTCGTTCTTAAGATCGTCCTAGATGTCGTTCTAGAAATCGTCCTCGAGGGTCATCCTATAGGTCCTTCTATCGGTCGTCCTTGAGGTCACCCTTAAGATCGTCCTAGCGGTCGTCCTAGACGTCATTGTTGACGTCTTCCTCTAGGCCCTCGTCCTCGACGTCGTACCAGCAAGCTGATAAACCCACGCCCTTCATGCGGCATGGGGTTTCTGCTCTCATGACGAATTGTATCGCAATTCATAGACTACCAGCAATAGTGGTTTCTGCAGCAAATGTTTTCTACCTTACTTTAAATCATCGCCCTGATGCGTATTGATCTATCGGATGGCACAAGCGGATCTATTTCTATAAAAGGAGCCGCAAAATCAGCACTTGCACATAGAAACTTCAACTTTCACCGAAGGGAGACTGGGCAGGTCTGTTTTTCAATGGGAAATTAGAGGGCGTAGTTATTTTTCTTGAAAATTTAGACCAACCAACTTGCTGAAGTCAACGTTGGGCGGGTTCACAGACGATCGATGTAGCGACGCGGTTAACTTGTGGCGCCATCTCTCGATAGGCGCAGTGAGCACACAACAAAGTGCGTCGTGTGCTCAGTGTGCCTATTGGGATATGGCGCTATAAGTAGCTAGCGTCCCTCACAGGGTCTTCTGCGCACGCGGCCGACGCTGACTTTGGCGAAATTGTTGGTGTAATTTTATCGAGGAAGAGAGCAACGCCTTGAATTTTTACACGGTAAGACTGACTTGCTCACTGCTCATTCGGTGAAAGTTCGATCTTTTCGATGTAAAGGCGCAGATGTCACCGGCTTGTTTTTTAGCGTGGGATCCGCTTTTGCCACCTATACACTGCTGATTCGTGTTTCAAATTGTTGTAGGAATGATCGCATAGAAACCTCCGCAGCCATAGCCGTGATGAGAAAGTCAGACCAGCGAAATTTATAGCAATAATACATGCAAGGTGCCCTTGTTATTGAAAGCCTTTCTAATAACTCCCGTGCTGCTGCTGCCGCTGCTGCCTTTGCCCTTTTCCTGTATTGTGTTCGCGTCACGATGAGTGATGAAGATGACGATGTTTGTCCAAAGTGCCATGAAGTGTTATCAGATGACAAACCTAATATAACGTGTCCAGAATGTCAATTCACATATCACTTTGGAACTTGCTGTGGCATCGCGGAATCAACCTTTAAAGCGAGAAATGCGAAGTCTCAGAAAGCCTGGCGGTGCGAGACCTGTAGTGTCGCGAAAAGAAGTCAAACCGGGAAGGCTAAGAAAGATGCCGAAATCGATGTGAACAGCTTGCTTACAAGCATGAACCTGAAACTTAACAGTTTGTTGAGTATGAAGGAAACCGTATCCGCCATTGAAACTTCTGTTCAAAACATGTCAGACCAGTATGATGAATTACTGAAGAGTGTTGGCCAGCATGACAAAGACATAAAAAGTTTAACAAAACGTGTGGAAAAAATCGAGAACGCCGGGACGGAAGGACAACTTACAGAGTTGAAACGGGAACTGAATGGACTGGAATGGCACAATAGAAAACAAAACCTAGAAATCCACGGGGTCCCACAAACCGCAAATGAAAACTTGCTGTCCCTGGTTAATGAGGTAGCTGCTAAGTTAGATGTTCCGACTCTCGTCCCATGCGAAATTGTTTCAATGCACAGGCTCCCTTCTAAACCAGAAAAGATCCCTGGTATAATTCTGCACTTCACGCAACAACAGACTCGCGATCGCTGGCTGGACAAAAGACGCAACCTTAAACGCCCCAATGATACCGAGTATATTCTGGAAAATATGACTCGTCAAGATAAAGCGCTCTTGTGGTCTACGAAACAATGGACAAGAGAGCACAATTTTCAGTATGTTTGGCACCGAAATGGTAACATCTTTGTCAGGAGGAAAACCGGTGACCCTGCCAAAACAGTAAAGAGTGAACACGATTTGCCAAACATGAGCTAAGCAACTGGTGTGTGCACCCTTTCTCTGCATTTTTTTTCTGTTTATACTTTCTTTTGAAATGGCAGTCTCAGAATATGTATTGCCTTCTGAGTTTAAAGCTTTTATCGGAGAAGAGTTTTCCTTATCAACTCACTGTTTACATATTAATATTCGATCAGCGAAAAATAAACGTGTTGATCTTGAGTGTTTTTTTGCTGAGCTTTCCGATTTCGAGATTATTATGCTTTCTGAAACGTGGTACACGGAACATACCGATGTTTTCAGATTGCCTTTGTATCAATGTTTTTTTATCAATCGCAGCGAAACCCGAGGGGGCGGTGTGTCAATTTTGATTAAAGAAAGCGTTGATTGCGAGTTAGTGCCTTCGTTTACCGTTATCACTAAAGATTACGAAGCTTTATCATTGCGAACAAAAAACGACTTTGTTTCGGTCATTTACCGCCCCCCTGGATCCGCTTTGTCCCCTTTCTTGGATTTTCTGAGCTCCCTTTTCGATTTCGCAAATGAAAACAAGCTGAACATTATATGCGGCGGCGATTTCAATGTGAATATGTTAAGTAATACTGTTTCAAAAAGGGAGTTGGAAAATTTAATACTTATAAATGGTTGTCGTACTGTAATAAACTCTCCGACCAGAGTTAATGTTACCTCAAAAACCTTGATTGATTGATTTATAACAAATTACGAGGAACGTCGTATAAGATCTGGCATAATTACTTATGACCTCAGTGATCATCTTCCTATTTTTTTGTGTGTCAAAATGAATAACGCAAAAAAGAAGGATCCAACACCTTCTGCGCAAGTCCAGTGTGTTACGCCGGATGGTTTGGAGAGGTTCGCGGAATGTGTGGCAAATGCAAATTGGGATGATATCTTTTCAAAGAACGATCCCGATGAGGCGTACAATTTTTTTCTTGAGCGTTTTAAAAGTCTTTATCAGAGCAATTTTCCTTACAAACTAATTAAAGTGAAGAAACGCATTCGGAAACCATGGATAACTGTAGATCTACTTGAAAACATAAAGGTTAAAAATGTGCTATACAGAAAGTTCACAAACATTAGAGATCCCAATGACCTTCGGACTTTTAAATCGTACCGTAATCAACTGACAAACGCCCTGAGAAAAGCAAGGGAGCGCTATCACCATGATTCCTTTAGAAACTCTGTAGGCCGTTCTGACCTTATGTGGAAGAACTTAAATTCAGTTATAGAAGGCAAAACGTCCCATTCTGTAGAAGGTATTATTTCTGCAGGGAAGAAATTAACTGGCGCGTCGTTGGCAAACACATTTAATGACAGGTTTGTTGATTTGCCTCAAATTAACTGTAGAGATGCTGCATGTGATAATATAACCTTTAAGACTAGGGATTCTGTTTTTCTATTGCCAGTTACTGATACAGAGGTGTCTACTGTCTTTATGGAATTAAAAAATAGCCGTAGCTGTGATGCCGATGGTATGCAGATTCGGCCGGTAAAATATGTCTTACCACTGATCACTCCCTTCCTTACTTACATTTTTAATTTATGTTTTTCAACTGGGGTGTTTCCACAGCTTA